GAGTAATACGAAAAGTTTAACAAATAAAGAAAACTTGACTGTCTGTGCTCTGTTCTGTTTGTTGACTAAGTTGTAAAGCACGCGGGAAACGGCTAGAGCATGAAATCGCAATGTAGTCGAGTGTTTCTCCCTACTTCCTGACTGCTCTAGCCGCTATTAACTAATTGTTGTAAATATTAATATTATTTAAGCTGAGTGTATTTGTCATAAACAGCATGTGCCACAAAAACTTTCAAGAGTTTTCAAAGGAAAGAGGAGATGCCTGCAAGTAGTTTAAATTACGCATGCATTCTCAGATGAATTTTTTCGGTCAAGCAGATTTTTTCGTTGAAACACTATCCTCAAAGTAGACAATATAAAAACAAAGAGTGCAACACTGATTTTTTGTTTTCCTCTTTCTCTCTTTTCCTTCCTCTCTTCTCATCACTCGATATTTCCTATCCTGTCGGGCTTTTCAGACTAAAATAAAGATCTTGGAATTATTATATCAAAAGATCTTACTTGGAGTGAACATATTAGTACCATGGTGAATAAGGCGAACCAAGTCCTAGGGCTAATAAGACGGTCTGTTGGAACATCTAATACAACAACTTTTTCATTGCTTTACAAAACATTGGTCAGACCACTTCTAGAGTATGCTGCTCCAGTCTGGAACCCATATCTTGTCAAAGATATTCATGCAATAGAGAGCGTGCAAAGACGCGCGTCAAGATTAGCTCTTAGGCAAAAAAGAGGTGATATGTCTTATGAAGAGCGTTGTGACTCGTTACATTGGCCATCTTTGTCCAGTCGTAGGACATATTCCTCTCTTGTTGAATGTTATAAGATCGTGTTTGGCTTATCACACTTGGATTTTGAGGAATTCTTTCAATTCGCAAAAGTCAAATCCACTAGGGCAAATCACTCGTATAAGCTTTATTGTAAATTATCTAGAATCAACTGTTTTAAATATTCTTTTTTTAACAATGTAATTAGTTACTGGAACAATTTACCTAGTAATGTTGTTGAAGCCGGTTCCCTTGAACTTTTTAAATGTAAACTCAAATCCTTTTTAAAGTTGTAATTTTTATTGTAATTTTTATTGTAATTTTTATTGTGTGTTGTTTTTAGGAGAGTTTTATTCATAGGGTTAACCTCTAGACTCTCCTTTTCAAATTCATGTGGTCATTATGAGTTTGAATAAACATGTATGTTATGTTATGTTATGTTATGTATGTTATGTTATAATCTTGTCATTTGGCCTCAATTTGGTCAAATTACTACTGATTTTCAGAGGCCGAATTTTAGGAATTCCAGTCTGACTTTTCCACCAAAAAAGTGCGAATCATTGTTGGGCAACTGTGGTGAAAACCGTCTCCAAAGTATAGGCAATGAAAAAAGCAAAAAAAAAAAAGCAAAAACAACAACAGAAAACAAAAAAAAACAAGACAGAGACTATTATGTTTTTCACCTTCGTTTCTCTTTGCTTTCTTTCCATTTTCTTTTCCTTTTTCTTCTGTGTAGTGTGATTTTGGCCGGGGCTTTTCCGCGCTCACGAAACCTGTATTTTGGCCTGCGCGGCTTTCACTTAAATGACTGCAATTTTCACTAACTACGTTTTTAAAAAAAATATCGAGCCCACATTTGAATGAAAAAAATTCTAAATGCGTTATTTTACAGTGCTGAAACACTTTTAACTTTCCTTGTAGTTAAATATTATTTCTAAACTAATTTATAAAGCCAATGTCAGTGGTTTGTTCAGAATTTGCAAAAAGGCGAGTCGTCGGACAACATAAGAGACCATCCTTGGAATGGTTGTACAGACACCTCATCACAGTTGGGTATCCTATGAACAGTAAAGCCCAGCATTCCTGCCACCAATGCCGCGGTATCCTGGACATCAAAAGGGTTCTTGATAGTGAAAGGAACGGCCACTAAGCCACTTGTAAAGTCTCCAGGCCCCCTCAGTTCCCTTTCATATTGCAGTCCCTCCAAGAAATCTGTGATCCATCCCCTGATACCGCCAGCGGGAGTTCCTGAGAAACAAAACAAAATCAGTAAATTATTTTTGTTTGCTTAATTTCGTGAATATGTACTCTCTAGATCAGACGAAGTACAGTCAACTCCCTTGTATTGCGGACACTGCGGGGACCTCGAGTTAGTGTCCTCATAAGCGAGAGTCCGTAATAACGAGAGTTTATTTAAACCAAAAGACTGAAATTTGTTTTTGCCGGGGATTTAGCCGCTGTTCCTATTATCGGGAAGGTCTGTTGTAGCGGGGTGTATGCAAGGCAAGAGTTGACTGTAAACTAGGACAAACTTCATTAAGCCTGACTTACAATCTCAAATAAAAGAGCTTTGGATAGCCTACTCGCGCTGACTGTGATTATACGAACTCTTCACAAAGACCGTTCTTCCAAAATAATGATGAATTTCCATTAAAGAACTTTTTCGACGTTCTAGAAACTGCTGCTTGTGATCAGCTTACTGAGCTGTGATATGTTTTGGTAAACACCTGTTAATCCCTAGTTGAACCAGAAGTATATATCGTTTGTGGATAAAAAGACTACAATAAAATGAAAACAGTCAATCCTTTTTGTGTAAAACAAGCCGTTTACAAGCCCATCAGCGTTTGGCAAGTCTATGGACAATTCTCTCAAGACTTTTCTACCAGTTTCGTAGCTAGCATAAATTCTTACTTCCTTAGCGTTATCTAAGCTTTTCATGTGGTTTTGATACTTTTAACAACTTCGGTAGTTTTTCTTTTTCGGTTTTTGCATTGCAATCGTATAAATTGATTGAACAATACATACCCGACTCATAAGCTTCTTGATAGCTCATAATATGACTCCACCAATCTTCATCTGGGTGTCCCTGATAGGTGGTTTGCAGATTCCAGAACACTTTCTGAACCAGATCCCACCATTTTGATGAAAGGCCAAGATCATTCTCTATAGGTTCTAAGAGTGTTCTTAAAACTTTCAGCTTAGAACTCAATTTCATCCAGTCATCTTCACTGCCAAGCATCTCCACCGATGGTATTCCACATTTGGTCATGTCTCCGAAATAGTCGAAATATTGTTTAACAGAATACATCAGCGTAATCTGCGAGACGATCTTCTGTACAGCTGAGGTGGTTCCAAAATCTGCGGTGACTCCATCAACAAATTCGGGCACTTTTAAGTTTTCTTTTAACTGTTTTGCTATTTGATCGAACAGAAAGTTGTAATCCACGGTGTAGATGGTGGGATCCGGAACCGTTACTTCGATTGTTTTCTTTCCTTCATGATCGACAAACAAGTTGCGCACTGAGGCTGTCGAAGAGTTTTCATCGATAGCACAGGCAACCCTCTTTTTTTGATAACACAGAACCACCAATCATCTGGCGATGTCCTAAGCCTATAGTGATGAGAATAGGCAGTGAAAACGGCAGCAAACATACCACAGTCAGCAAAGACTGAATAAACTTCCTCTTCTGAACCCAATGCGGAAACAATTTTTGTGGGCCGTGGAGCGCTTGTTTCGTGCTCTTTTCTGCCGTCTGCGATGATGGAGAGTGCCTTTTCTGCTGTATACTCTATGGCTAACTGTTTAGCCTGCTTTCCGTCTTCCTTAAACAAATCTTCAAAATTGGATGGAACCAGTTTGTGGCTGGCGAGAGAGACAAACTTCATGTTTAATCCATCGGCGGTCGTACTGTATCGAACGACAGTTTCGTTGGCCTTAGATGTTTCAATTTTTTCATCATCCATCGCGATCGGTTTGTTGTTAGAATTTCCCATTGCTTTTGCTTGAGAACTGATTGCGATCAGCAATCTAGCTTTAACCACCGAGAGCGGTGCTATGTGTCGGCGTACAACGATATCGACCACTCGGCTGACTAACTATCAATGCTTCCTCATTCTGCCTTGCCATCATGCGTATGGGAAGCCACAACGTTAACGTTCTTATGTGGTTTGGTCAGTTTGGCGTTGAGGTTTCACAGTGACGTAATGTGCTCTTGTCAAGTTGTGATGTGGTTACGGTCGACTGCCGATAACTCGAACCTTCAAGGGAAATCGAAAAAAGTTCGAGTTATCGGGAGTTGGAAAAACTACCCACAAAAGATTTGTAATTTTCACATGTAGGTATTTCAAATTAAGCGGAAATACCACTGCTCTAAGCCGATCAAATTGCAGAAATTTCTCATGTAGTAGTATAACAAAACGTCCCTCTCGAGCTCGTTGCTTCCCTTAACTGTTTTCAGACGTGAGTCTTGTTTGAAGTTATGTTATCCTTCGAAAGATGCCACAATTTCTGGTGTATTTTATCCGTTTCGAGCGAATTATTCAAACACGTTCAAAACCGCACTCCTAAAAGCTGGGAAACGGTTTGTTTAACTACGATCTTTCATCAGAAGCCCGATAAAACACTCTTACAGGCTCGAAAACCCCTCAAAATTGCCTCTTCCCACCTTTTTTTTCAGACATGTAGGGCGCACTCTTTAGGGTGAAGGTGATACATGGAATTGTGAGCAGAAAAGGGTTCACCTACCACAACATTGTCCATCAACAAGTCAACGTTAGTAGTTAAAACAAGGTCCAGTATGTTTTGATCCCTCGTAGGTTCGTCCACTACATGCAAGAAGTTGTCCTGAATTATATAATATGTGCAAGAGTAGTGTATGTTGCTCCGAGCACCAGCTAGTGATCGATTCGGTTGGCCCATGGCCAGTTAAATTCACTTAAATTAAAATCTCTGATTAATATCATGTCTGTGGTGATGTTACTGAGAGGAATTTTGGAGTTCTTGAAAACTTTTAGGTTACTATTGGGCGGCCGATAAAATACTGCGATAGCTATTTTCCTGTAATTCGTAGTTCATACATCGATAAACAATAATTTAGATTCGCAGGCGACGTCTTCCTTCGGGGAAGCCTTATTACATCCTTTGGTGGCAATTAGTACACCACCACCAAAACGTCCTCCTTGCTGCCTATGTTTCAGTCCTTTTTTTTCTGAAAACCTTATTTGCCCCGTGTTGAGAAGGCAGTGTTGTTGTTGTTGTAGGGATACAGCTGGCCAAGGACGCTTCGATGAAATGACAACGGAGTATTATAGCGGAGCAATGGTTAGTGGAATTATTTACTTTGTGAGATATTCAGTTTCTTTTGCTCGAAGAAACACCTTACTTTATAGAATCATTCAAAACTCAGAAGTTAGAATAAAAAGAACATCAGTCTCACCGTAACTTACTTAAAACATATTAATTTAATACCCTTTCAATTCAGCATCAGGCATCATTTAAAAACATGTTTTTGATTTTTGCAGGGCATTATACTTGTATACGATATAACCCAGGAGAAGATATTTGAAAACATTTCAAAGTGGCTACGGAACATAGAAGAGGTACAGTTAAGGCTCTCATAACCTTGGCAATCCATAAGACTTTTCGTTCTCGTTTCATTTTTTTGTTTCATTCCATTGTAAGCAGTACAAGAAATATCACAAATTTCATTTTCCTATTCCCAACATACGAAAGAAATAATATAACTAAACTCTAAGAATTTGATGGAAAAAAAAAAAAGAAATTATTTGGGGTTCCCTTAAAGAGTATCAAATTAAAGACACTTCCGCGGAGCAATTTGCAAGCAATGATCTCAGTCGAATCTACAGGAAAAATTACTCGTTTTTTCGCCTAAATGGGGGAAAGTTATCAATAATGCTCGTTTTTCTAAGCATTTCATCTTTTCGTACCACATGAATTTTGTCAATCGACTAACAATCCCATGATCATCTTTAGTAATTGTAAACCGGCGTTTAAAAATGTGGGTCGGAAGACTCATGTACTATTTGCATAAGGCTACATAAATGAGTTAAGTTAAATCAATAATAAAGGCTACAATAGGTAGATTTTATAACATAGCACTTAACAATATTGCACAAACATCTCAAGCTTGATATAGCTCACCGTCATTGTTTGATAGCTTGCCATCACTGATGAAATCTAGGTCTTCTTCCAGTTTCAAAACACTTCTTTTACAACAGATTTCAATTCTTTCTTCTTTTGACGGTCTTGTCATATAAATTAGATCGTCTCAACCGAAACACGCACACTGCCAAATAGGTCTCCAGTGTTCTTCTTGATAACTCTCAGCTCCAGAAGTACAAAATATAAGACTTAATTGGCCAAAACTGGTCTCTGTGAGAGCCATCGTCTTTCAGGGTTGCTTCGGTCCTGTGGACGTTCTTGACGTTTGATTGCAGTTGAAGATCTTTTTTTACAATAGAGTGTAACCCGGAGCTTTGCTTGCAGTACAATTTTCGCTTGTAGAAGCTGGCACATTATAGAATCTCAGCTTGCAATCACTATGAATATCTCTCTGGTGATAACAACCTCACTAGTTTTCTTATCTTTACTTTCAAACTGTATGTTTCAAAATCATGTTAGAAATGTCTTTATCCACCCTCGAGTATGGTCAATTATCAGATCCTGATAGATGAGAGGTAGATCCTAGAAAGCTTTATTTTGTAAAAAGTTAAACATGCCCCTTCGAAAAGCATGAAGTGAGACAGAGAAAGGAAGGACAGAATCGCCAGCTCAGCGATAAAACCCAGTTCGAAAACAGCTGCACATTTTATTCCCTCGCCGAACTCAAATAACTCCGTATGTACGACATCACAAGGTCACCCCTTAGTACCACAGGATACCCAAGTACCACATAGGGAGTTGCGTTGTCCAAACGTCAAACGCAATAAAACCTAAGTGTTGCAAATTTTATTTATTCTGTCAAGCACACAATTGTTTTTATGGGACAGAGAAAGTCTTGAGGATCACCCTTTAATTCTTTTTCCCCACTCTATTTTAGCATGCAAATGAAGATGCAGAAAAGATGATCCTTGGTAGCAGATGTCATATGGAAGATAGAAGAATTGTTAGCAAGGAAAACGGGGAGGAGGTGAGTTGACTGAAGTGTAAGACACTTCACAGTAGGTCCACCAAATCAGATGCAACAAATCTGTGGTCTCCTAAATGGTAATCTTGGGCTTTCTGGAGGAAAAAAGGGTAGAGTGAAACCTGGTTACAGGTAAATACCATCATCATTATCATAATCACTGTTTGCCCTTGTTGAGAACAGGACCAGCAATCAAGTTGTTTCAACACATTTACTTCTTCGCTGCATTTTCTGAATCTCAGGCACATTCCCCTTGTTTCTTTTTCCAGTCCTGGCCCCAGTTATTCAAAAGGTGGGTAACGCAATCCACCGGCTAAATCTCTAACCGGTGGATAACGCAATTGGTTTCCCTTTAATACTTATCCACTGGATAACGCTATATCCAACTTTTAAAGCAACTGGGGCCTGGGGCCCGTTTCTCGAAAGTCCCGATAATTAACGGGCCCGGTAAGCTGACTCCGTTTACATTAGAGATCGAGGTTTCAATAGTTTTACATCTACCATGACAAAACTATCAGTTAATGAAACAAAATGGAGTAGTTTGCTAGCCAGGACCAGCGCTCTTATTCTTTATATTTTGATTTGAATATTTGACTTAGGGCCCGAAAAGTTACCCGGACTTCCGAGAAACCGTGTCCCCTGGACATTGCCATGTCTTTGTTAACCCTTATTAGTATATACACACTCAGTGATCTTGGTAATTCAAGCAATCTGATTGGTTAGCTATCTCGGACTATGACGTTATATTCACCGCGCTAGGCGGTGAATATAAAGCCGAACAAAATCGCTGTCGTGAACTGGGTGTTTTGCCAAAGTTTCAAAGTAGAACCTTTTTGAAAATAGACGAATATCCAAGTGCTGATGACTTTGAAGGCAAGAAAAGACTTCATGGTGTTTAAACAGCGTGATTTATTGTGAAGTGGTTTACTTTAGCTGACTTTTTGTACGCTCGAAGCTATGTTTACCACTACAGAGGAAAACGAGGTCGCTTTGTCACTGTTTTGTGATTTCGAGATTTTCTCGCAAGACCAATTTTGCCTATAAATAGAAGTTAATTTATGGAGAAGAGAGGAAGGCAAATATTTTCGAAAATTGTACGTGCCAGCAAGTTAACAAGGCAAAGAACTTTGGAGATAAACAACGCTCACCTTGATCGCAGCCGCTGTTGACAGCATTTGTAAGAAGCGACGAAGAAAACTTTCTCATTCACGGTGAGTTGACAGAAACAAATAAAGCTCTAGATACTTTTCTTCTCAGAATTGGGTAGTAATTTAAATTTTCGGCGTTTTCTTTTAAACCGTTGATGCTAAAGCTTACAAAACTCGATACAAAAGGATTAAAACTATCATTTGCCATGTTTGAAGATACTGTAAAGATCTAACTTTTGCGCATCCACTGTTTACGGCTTCGTGTTCACGCATGAATTCACCCGTCAATCAAACTAATCGTTTTTTAACGGTTTCCCTTCTGATTCCGTTGAGATCACTTCGTGTGAATATACTAAAACAATTATTCACCTCAGGCTCAGTTAATATTGTTGAATAATCCCCTCGACTTCGTCTCGGGGATTATTCAACAATATTAACTTCGCCTTCGGCGAATAATTGTTAATTGTACTTACCTGTGGGTGCCCATGTCAGTTGTGATGTTGGGATAATAAGCGGATGCCATTCGTAGAAACCTAAATAAAGTACCACAATATATAGTAATGAAAATGTGGAGAAAAGTTTTAATAGCTGTTTTTTTCTTTGCTTGCTTTTCTGCTTTAGCTGGCCAAAGAGCACGGTGCCCAGTTCTTTGAAGTAAGTGCCGAAGAGAATATCAACATCAAGGAAGCCTTATACAACCTAGCTGAAAAAATGCTTGAGAAGAAACTGTCCACGGACAATGAGGAAACTTCTCAAAACATTCGCGTCAGTGATACCGAAGAGAAAAAAGGGAGGTGTTATTAAAAACACTCAGAGTCAGCTGTTTTTAATTAAAACTGTAATAGACTGCATAAGAATGCACAAGTATTCATAATTCATAAAGAAAAAAACAAAGAAAATCATATCGTAACGTTAGTTTGAATATCGGATCTTAATGATACCATAAGATAATGCGCTTTTTGCAAAGGCTGACGTCACGTTACCGACGTTACCATGGTCGTAAAATATCTGGATCAAGGACGATAGGGAGCTTTAGCAACAACGACGGCGACGGCTACAAAAAGGCAAAAAAACAATAGGTTGTTTTGCACGTCCATCACACTTTTTTGAACATTTCGTAGCCGTCGTTGCACGACTGTGACATGAAACTTCCTAACTTCACGCGCTCGCTTAATGAAGTGGTTGAACAAAACACAAAAATTCTCTTTTTCTTTTTCTAAATTTAGATATGGTTTTTTCGGATTCAACACCGGAAAATTTCTCCAACATTTGACAAATTAAATGAAATTGAATAATAAGATCGATGAAGTTTGAAACAGTGCGAATTTGCTTTTTAGTAAGCGATCAGCTGTATTTACGACCAGCATTGTGATACCCCAGTTGAACTGTGACTTAATCTCTGTTATGAAAAGCTCTTGTGATAATTAAAGCTATTTTACTGTCACGAAAGTAAAATGTGGTTAATGGAACGTGACGCCAGTTATCAGTAACCCTCTCATGGCGGTTCCTTTTCAATAAAGCAGTTGTGTAGTCAAGCTGCTAAGGTCAGCAAGCTCTAAGATACATTGTATTCTAGCGTAGAACTTTACGGCCTTGTTGTATTTAGCATGCTAGTACGATCCACAGCATTGGCCAACTTTTTCAATGCACTATTCATGGCTAAGAGTTCGCACGTGCAACTCTGAGCTGTCTTGTAGTACAGCCTTTTCTACTGGCTATGCCAGCAGACGTTTGCCTAGCTATAAAAGCCTAGAACAAGTGTTCAGAGTTCACTTGGCTTCTGTTATTCAGCAACGGTTAGCGCTCAGTATACGATTCTTGTAAAATTTTTCCCTTCCTCCCTCCCTTTGGAGACGAGGTTTGGGCTTTGTTTTGTGCTATGCGGTGAAATAAACTAGGGATACTCCTGCGTCGTGCGGTTAAGTCTGCGCAGCGACTTCCCCCAAGCTTGTTGGCCGCGTTGCAAACCGATACTCTTGTCCGATCCAGCACGTGCTGTATTGCATTCAGCTCGTAGTGCTGGGGAGATAAGTGAGGTTCTTTGGTCACGCCATCGCCGGAAGTCGCATTAGGCTACAAGGCAGTGCTCCCCCATTAACGCCAACTTGTCATTATTTGTTTTTATAATTTAGTTATGCGTTTAACATGCATCGCGAAGGAACAGAGACATTAACTAACTTTAATGACGCGTTAATTCGGAAAGTAATGAGTAATACGAAAAGTTTAACAAATAAATAAACCTTGACTGTCTGTGCTCTGTTCTGTTTGTTGACTAAGTTGTAAAGCACGCAGGAAACGGCTAGAGCATGAAGGAAATATACGGGCAAACTCGCAATGTAGTCGAGTGTTTCTCCCTACTTCTTGACTGCTCTAGCCGCTATTAACTAATTGTTGTAAATATTAATATTATTTAAGCTGAGTGTATTTGTCATAAACAGAATGTGCCACAAAAACTTTCAAAAGCCTCTCAAAGGAAAGAGGAGATGCCTGCAAGTAGTTTAAATTACGCATGCATTCTCAGCTGAATTTTTTCGCTTAAGCTGATTTTTTCGTTGAAACACTATCCTCAAAGTAGACAGTATAAAAAAAACGAGTGCAACACTGATTTTTTGTTTTTGTTTTTCTCTCTTCTCATCACTCGATATTTCCTATCCCGTCGGGCTTTTCAGACTAAAATAATCTCGTGATTTTGCCGCAGTTTGGTCAAATGACTACTGATTTTCAAAGGCCGAATTTTAGGAATTCCAGTCTGACTTTTCCACGAAATAGTGCGAATCATTGTTGGCCCACTGTGGTGAAAACCGTCTCCAAAGTATAGGCAATGAAAAAAAAACAAAAACAAAAAACACAAAGCAAAAACAAAAACAGAAAACAAAAAAACCAAGACATGGACTATTATGTTTTTCACCTTCATTTCTCTTTGCTTTCTTTTTATTTTCTTTTCCTTTTTTTTCTGTGTAGTGTGATTTTGGGGCTTTTTCCGCGCTCAAGAAACCTGCATTTTGGCTTGCGCGGCTTTCACTTAAATGGCTGCAATTTTCACTAGCTACGTTTAAAATAAAAATATCGAGCCCACATTTGCATGAAAAAAATTTTGAATGCGTTATTTTACAGTACTGAAACACTTTTAACTCTCCTTGTAGTTAAGTATTATTTCTAAACTAATTTATAACGCCAATGAAAGTGGTTTGTTCAGAATTTGCAAAAAGGCGAATCATCGGACAACATAAGAGACCATCCTTGGAATGGTTGTACAGACACCTCATCACAGTTGGGTATCCTGTGAACAGTGAAGCCCAGCATTCCTGCCACCAATGCCGCGGTATCCTGGACACCAAAAAAGTTCTTGATAGTGAAAGGAACGGCCACTAAGCCACTTGTAAAGTCTTCAGGCCCCAACAGTTCCCTTTCATATTGCAGTCCCTCCAAGAAATCTGTGATCCATCCCCTGATACCGCCAGCGGGAGTTCCTGAGAAACAAAACAAAATCAGTAAATTATTTTTGTTTGCTTAATTTCGTGAATATGTAGTCTCTAGATCAGACGAAGTACAGTCATCTCCCTTATATTGCGGACACTGCGGGGACTTAGTTAGTGTCCTCATAAGCGAGAGACCGTAATAACGAGAGTTTATTTAAGCCAAAAGTCTGAAATTTGTTTTTGCCGGGGATTTAGCCGCTGTCCCTATTATCGGGACGGTCCGTTGTAGCGGGGTGTATGCAGCGCGAGAGTTGACTGTAAACTAGGACAGACTTCATTAAACCTGACTTACAAGCTCAAATAAAAGAGCTTTGGATAGCCTACTCGCGCTGACTATGATTATACGAACTCTTCACAAAGACCGTTCTTTCAAAATAATGATGAATTTCCATTATTAAAGAACTTTTTCGACGTTCTAGAAACTGCTGCTGGTGATCAGCTTACTGAGCTGTGATATGTTTTGGTAAACATCTGTTAATCCCTAGTTGAACCAGAAGTATATATCGTTTGTGGATAAAAAGACTACAATAAAATGAAAACGGTCAATCCTTTTTGTGTAAAACAAGCCGTTTACAGGCGCATCAGCGTTTGGCAAGTCTACGGACAATTCTCTCAAGACTTTTCTAGCAGTTTCGTAACTAGCGTAAATTCTTGCTTCCTTAGCGTTATCTAAGCTTTTCATGTGGCTGTTATACTTTTAACACCCTCGGTAGTTTATTTATTCATTTATTTTTTTGCTTTTTGTATTACAATCGTATAAATTGATTGAACAATACATACCCGACTCATAAGCTTCTTGATAGCTCATAATATGACTCCACCAATCTTCATCTGGGTGTCCCTGATAGGTGGTTTGCAGATTCCAGAACACTTTCTGAACCAGATCCCACCATTTTGATGAAAGGCCAAGATCATTCTCTATAGGTTCTAAGAGTGTTCTTAAAACTTTCAGCTTAGAACTCAATTTCATCCAGTCATCTTCACTGCCAAGCATCTCCACCGCTGGTATTCCACACATGGTAACCATTCCAAAGTCGAAATATTGTTTAACAGAATACATCAGCGTAATCTGCGAGACGATCTTCTGTACAGCTGAGGTGGTTCCAAAATCTGCGGTGACTCCATCAACAAACTCGGGCACTTTTAAGTTTTCTTTTAACTGTTTTGTTATTTGATCGAACAGAAAGTTGTAATCCACGGTGTAGATAGTGGGATCCTTAATCTGTACTTCGATTGTTTTTTTTCCTTCGTGATCGACAAACATGTTGCGCACCGAGGCTTTCGAAGAGTTTTCATCGATAGCACAGGCAACCCTCTTGATAACACAGAACCACCAATCATCTGGCGATGTCCTAAGCCTATAGTGATGAGAATAGGCAGTGAAAACGGCAGCAAACATACCACAGTCAGCACCAACTGAATAAACTTCCTCTTCTGAACCCAATGCGGAAACAATTTTTGTGGGCCGTGGAGCGCTTGTGTCATGCTCTTTTCTGCCGTCTGCGATGATGGAGGGAGCCTTTTCTGCTGTATACTCTATGGCTAACTGTTTAGCCTGCTTTCCGTCTTCTTTAAACAAATCTTCAAACTTGGATGGAACCAATTTGTGGCTGGCGAGAGAGACAAACTTCATGTTTAATCCATCGGCGGTCGTACTGTATCGAACGACAGTTTCGTTGGCCTTAGATGTTTCAATTTTTTCATCATCCATCGGTTTGTTGTTAGAATTTCCCATTGTTTTTGCTTGAGAACTGATTTCAATCAGCAATCTTTAACCACCGAGAGCGGTGCTATGTGTCGGCGTACAACGATATTGACCACTCGGCTGACTAACTATCAATGCTTCCTCATTCTGCCTTGTCATCATGTGTATGGGAAGCCACAACGTTAACGCTCTTATGTGGTTTGGTCAGTTTGGCGTTGAGGTTTCACAGTGACGTAATGTACTCTTGTCATGTTGTGCTGTGGTTACGGTCGACTGCCGATAACTCGAACCTTCAAGGGAAATCGAAAAAAGTTCGAGTTATCGGGAGTTGGAAAAACTACCCACAAAAGATTTGTAATTTTCACATGTAGTTATTTCAAATTAAGCGGAAATATCATTGCTCTAAGGCAATCAAATTGCAGAAATTTCTCATGTAGTAGTATAAAAAAACGTCCCTCTCGAGCTCGTTCCTCCCCGTAACTGTTTTCAGACGTGAGTCTTATTTAAAGTTATGTTATCCTTCCAAAGACGCCACAATTTCTGGTGTATTATTTTTATCCGTTTCGAGCGAATTCTACAAACACGTTCAAAACCGCACTCCTAAAGGCTGGGAAACGGTTTGTTTAACTACGATCTTTCATCAGAAGCCCGATAAAACACTCTTACAGGCTCGAAAAACCCTCAAAATTGCCTCTCCCACCTTTTTTTTCAGACATGTAGGGCGCACTCGTTAGGGTGAAGGTGATACATGGAATTGAGCAGATTGTGATCAGAAAAGGGTTCACCTACCACAACATTGTCCATCAACAAGTCAACGTTAGTAGTTAAAACAAGGTCCAGTATGTTTTGATCCCTCGTAGGTTCGTCCACTACATGCAAGAAGTTGTCTTGAATTATATATGTCCAAGGGTAGTGTATGTTGCTCCGAAGCACCAGTTAGTGATCGATTCGGTTGGCCCAGTCAAATTTACTTAAATTAAAATCTCTGATTAATATCATGTCTGTGGTGAAGTTACTGAGAGGAATTTTGGAGTTCTTGCAAAACTTTTAGGTTACTATTGGGCGGCCGATAAAATACTGCGATAGCTATTTTCCGGTAATTCGTAGTTCATACATCGATAAACTATAATTCAGATTCGCAGGTGACGTCTTCCCTCGGGGAAGCCTTATTACCTTCTTTGGTGACAATTTGTACACCACCACCAAAACGTCCTCCTTGCTGCCTATGTTTCAGTCCTTTTTTTTCTGAAAACCTTATTTGCCCCGTGTTGAGAAGGCAGTGTTGTTGTTGTTGTAGGGATACAGCTGGCCAAGAACGCCTCGATGAAATAACAACGGGATATTATAGAGGAGCGATGGTTAGTGGAATTATTTACTTTGTGAGATATTCAGTTTCTTTTGCTCCAAGAAACACCTTACCTTATAGAATCATTCAAAACTCAGAAGTTAGAATAAAAAGAACATCAGTCTTATCGTAACTTACTTAAAACATATTAATTTAATGCCCTTTCAATTCAGCGTCAGTCATCATTTAAAAACATGTTTTTGATTTTTGCAGGGCATTACACTTGTATACGATATAACCCAGGAGAAGACTTTTGAAAAGATTTCAAAGAGGCTACGGAACATAGAAGAGGTACAGTAAAGGCTCTCGTAACCTTGGCAATCCATAAGAGTTTTCATTCTCGTTTCATTTTTTTGTTTCATTCCATTGTAAGTAGTACAAGAAATATCACAAATTTCATTTTCCTATTCGCAACATGCGACAGAAATAATATAACTAAACTCTAAGAATTTGATGAGAAAAAAAAAAATAAAAAATAATGATTTGGGGTTCCCTTAAAGAGTATCAAATTAAAGACACTTCCGCGGAGCAATTTGCAAGCAATGATCTCAGTCGAATCTACAGGAAAAATTACTCGTTTTTTTGCCAAAATGGGGGAAAGTTATCAATAATGCTCGTTTTTCTAAGCATTTCATCTTTTCGTACCACCTGGATTTTGTCAATCGACTAACAATCCCATGATCATCTTTAGTAATTGTAAACCGCCGTTTAAAAATGTGGGTCGGAAGACTCATGTACTATTCAGGCATAAGGCTACATAAATGAGTTAAGTTAAATCAATAATAAGGGCTACAATAGGTAGATTTTATAACATAGCACTTAACAATATTGCACAAACATCTGAAGCTTGATATAGCTCACCGTCAATGTTTGATAGCTTAATTGCCATCACTGATGAAATCTAGGTCTTCTTCCAGTTTCAAAACACTTCTTTTACAACAGATTTCAATTCTTTCTTCTTTTGACGGTCTTGCCATATAAATTAGATCGTCTCAACCGAAACGCGCACACTGCCAAATAGGTCTCCAGTGTTCTTCTTGATAACTCTCAGCTCCAGAAGTACAAAATATAAGACTTAATTGGCCAAAACTGGTCTCTGTGAGAGCCATCGTCTTTCAGGGTTGCTTCGGTCCTGTGGGCGTTCTTGACGTTTGGTTGCAGTTGAAGATCTTTCTATAATAGAGTGTAACCCGGAGCTTTGCTTGCAGTACAATTTTCGCTTGTAGAAGCTGGCACATTATAGAATCTCAGCTTGCAATCACTATGAATATCTCTCTGGTGGTAACAACCTCACTAGTTTTCTTATCTTTACTTCCAAACTGTATATTTCAAAATCATGTGAGAAATGTCTTTATCCACCCTCGAGTATGGTCAATTATCAGATCCTGATAGATGAGAGGTAGATCCTAGAAAGCTTTATTTTGTAAAAAGTTAAACATGCCCCTTCGAAAAGCATGAAGTGAAACAGAGAAAGGAAGGACAGAATCGCCAGCTCAGCGATAAAACCCAGTTCGAAAACAGCTGCACATTTTATTCCCTCGCCGAACTCAAATAACTCCGTACGTACGACATCACAAGGTCACCCCTTAGTACCACAGGATACCCAAGTACCACATAGGGAGTTGCGTTGTCCTAACGTCGAACGTAATAAAACCTAAGTGTTGCAAATTTTATTTATTCTGTCAAGCACACAATTGTTTTTATGGGACCGAGAAAGTCTTCAAGATCACCCTTTAATTCTTTTTCCCCACTCTATTTTAGCATGCAAATGAAGATGTAGAAAAGATGATCCTTGGTAGCAAATGTCATATGGAAGATAGAAGAATTGTCAGCAAGGAAAACGGGGAGGAGGTGAGTTGACTGAAGTGTAAGACACTTCACAGTAGGTCCACCAAATCAGATGCAACAAATCTGTGGTCCCCTAAATGGTAATCTTGGGCTTTCTGGAGGAAAAAAGGGTAGAGTAAAACCTGGTTACAGGTAAATACCATCATTATCATCATAATCATTGTTTGCCCTTGTTGAGTACAGGACCAGCAATCAAGTTGTTTCAACACATTTACTTCTTCGCTGCATTTTCTGAATCTCAGGCACATTCCTCTTGTTTCTTTTTCCAGTCTTGGCCCCAGTAGTTCAAAAGGTGGGTAACGCAATCCACCGGCTAAATCTCTAACCAGTGGATAACGCAATTGGTTTCCCTTTAATACTTATCCACTGGATAGCGCTATATCCAACTTTTAAAGCAACTGGGGCCTGGACATTGCCATGTCTTTGTTAACCCTTATTATTATACATCAGACTCACTATGAAAAATCTGATTAGTCGAGAGCATTTAATCAATTCACAATAGCTTGTGAACTTGACATGATAAATGCAATATCTGCAGCAGATATTGCATTTATCATGTCAAGTTCAACGTCTGCCTGGTTACCAAGCCCCTTGGAGTGTTCTGCTCAGAAACAGAATGGCTGAACGCTTCGCTTATGTTTCTGAGGATGAATTATGAAAAATGTATAATAAAACAATTATTGAATTCGGTTTTCGCATGATATCATGAATTATTAAAACCTCGTGTCTGTATCATCTGCCTCAGCTTTCGGCTTCGGCAGATAACGCAGACCTCGGTTTTGATCATTCATGATATCATGCTCAACCTCATCCAATGATTGTTTATTGTACTTACCTGTGGGTGCCCATGTCAGTTGTGATGTTGGGATAAAAAGCGGATGCCATTCGTAGAAACCTAAATAAAGTACCACAATATATAGTAATAAAAATGTGGAGAAAAGTTTTAATAGCTGTTTTTTTCTTTGCTTCCTTTTCTGCTTTAGCTGGCCAAAGAGTACGGTGCCCAGTTCTTTGAAGTAAGTGCCGAAGAGAATATCAACATCAAGGAAGCCTTATACAACCTAGCTGAAAAAATGCTTGAGAAGAAACTGACCACGGACAATGAGTAAACTTCTCAAAACATTCGCGTCAGTGATACCGAAGAGAAAAAAGGGAGGTGCTATTAAAAAAACTCAGAGTCAGCTGTTTTTAATTAAAACTGTAATAGACTGCATAAGAATGCACAAGTATTCATAATTCATAAAGAAAAAACAAAGAAAATTATACCGTAACGTTAGTTTGAATATCGGATCTTAATGATACCATAAGATAATGCGCTTTTTGCAAAGGCTAACGTCACGTTATCGACGTTACCATGGTCGTAAAATATCTGGATCAAGGACGATAGGGAGCTTTAGCAACAACGACGGCGACGGCTACAAAAAGGCAAAAAAACAATAGGTTGTTTTGCACGTCCATCACACTTTTTTGTACATTTCGTTATGATAAGCTCTCGTGATAATTACTAACTTTAATGACCCGTTAATTCCGAAAGTAATGAGTAATACGAAAAGTTTAACAAATACCTTGACTGTCTGTGCTCTGTTCTGTTTGTTGACTAAGTTGTAAAGCACGCAGGAAACGGCTAGAGCATGAAGGAAATATACGGGCAAACTCGCAATGTAGTGGAGTGTTTCTCCCTACTTCTTGACTGCTCTAGCCGCTATTAACTAATTGTTGTAAATATTAATATTATTTAAGCTGAGTGTATTTGTCATAAACAGCATGTGCCACAAAAATTTTCAAAAGTTTTCAAAGGAAAGAGGAGATGCCTGCAAGTTTAAATTTTTTCGCTCAAGCAGATTTTTTCGTTGAGACACTATCCTCAAAGTAGACAATATAAAAACAAAGAGTGCAACACTGATTTTTTGTTTTCCTCTTTCTCTCTTTTCCTTCTTCTCTTCTCATCACTCGATATTTCCTATCCTGTCGGGCTTTTCAGACTAAAATAATCTCGTGATTTTGCCGCAGTTTGGTCAAATGACTACTGATTTTCAAAGGCCGAATTTTAGGAATTCCAGTCTGACTTTTCCACGAAATAGTGCGAATCATTGTTGGCCCACTGTGGTGAAAACCGTCTCCAAAGTATAGGCAATGAAAAAAAACAAAAACAAAACAAAAAACAAAGCAAAAACAACAACAGAAAACAAAAAAACCAAGACAGGGACTATTACGTTTTTCACCTTCATTTCTCTTTGCTTTCTTTTTCTTTTCTTTTCTTTTTTTTTCTGTGTAGTGTGTTTTTTAGGCTTTTTTCGCGCTCACGAAACCTGCATTTTGGCCTGCGCGGCTTTCACTTAAATGGCTGCAATTTTCACTAGCTACGTTTAAAATAAAAATATCGAGCCGACATTTGCATGAAAAAAATTTTTAATGCGTTATTTTACAGAACTGAAACACTTTTAACTTTCCTTGCAGTTAAGTATTCTTTCTAAACTAATTTATAACGCCAATGTCAGTGGTTTGTTCAGAATTTGCAAAAAAGGCGAGCCGTCGGACAACATAAGAGACCATCCTTGGAATGGTTGTACAGACACCTCATCACAGTTGGGTATCCTGTGAATAGTGAAGCCCAGCATTCCTGCCACCAATGCCGCGGTATCCTGGACACCAAAAAAGTGCTTGATAGTGAAAGGAACGGCCACTAAGCCACTTGTAAAGTCACCAGGCCCCCTCAGTTCCCTTTCATATTGCAGTCCCTCCAAGAAATCTGTGATCCATCCCCTGATACCGCCAGCGGGAGTTCCTGAGAAACAAAACAAAATCAGTAAATTATTTTTGTTTGCTTAATTTCGTGAATATGTACTCTCTAGATCAGACGAAGTACAGTCAACTCCCTTGTATTGCGGACACTGCGGGGACCTCGAGTTAGTGTCCTCATAAGCGAGAGTCCGTAATAACGAGAGTTTATTTAAACCAAAAGACTGAAATTTGTTTTTGCCGGGGATTTAGCCGCTGTTCCTATTATCGGGAAGGTCTGTTGTAGCGGGGTGTCTGCAAGGCAAGAGTTGACTGTAAACTAGGACAAACTTCATTAAACCTGACTTACAATCTCAAAGAAAAGAGCTTTTGATAGCCTACTCGCGCTGACTGTGATTATACGAACTCTTCACAAAGACCGTTCTTCCAAAATAATGATGAATTTCCATTAAAGAACTTTTTCGACGTTCTAGAAACTGCTGCTTGTGATCAGCTTACTGAGCTGTGATATGTTTTGGTAAACACCTGTTAATCCCTAGTTGAACCAGAAGTATATATCGTTTGTGGATAAAAAGACTACAATAAAATGAAAACAGTCAATCCTTTTTGTGTAAAACAAGCCGTTTACAAGCCCATCAGCGTTTGGCAAGTCTATGGACAATTCTCTCAAGACTTTTCTACCAGTTTCGTAGCTAGCATAAATTCTTACTTCCTTAGCGTTATCTAAGCTTTTCATGTCGTTTTGATACTTTTAACACCTTCGGTAGTTTTTTTTTTTCGGTTTTTGCATTGCAATCGTATAAATTGATTGAACAATACATACCCGACTCATAAGCTTCTTGATAGCTCATAATATGACTCCACCAATCTTCATCTGGGTGTCCCTGATAGGTGGTTTGCAGATTCCAGAACACTTTCTGAACCAGATCCCACCATTTTGATGAAAGGCAAAGATCATTCTCTATAGGTTCTAAAAGTGTTCTTAAAACTTTCAGCTTAGAACTCAATTTCATCCAGTCATCTTCACTGCCAAGCATCTCCACCGATGGTATTCCACATTCGGTAATGTCTCCGAAATAGTCGAAATATTGTTTAACAGAATACATCAGCGTAATCTGCGAGACGATCTTCTGTACAGCTGAGGTTGTTCCAAAATCTGCGGTGACTCCATCAACAAATTCGGGCACTTTTAAGTTTTCTTTTAACTGTTTTGTTATTTGATCGAACAGAAAGTTGTAATCCACGGTGTAGATAGTGGGATCTTTAATCTCTACTTCGATTGTTTTTTTTCCTTCATGATCGACAAACATGTTGCGCACCGAGGCTTTCGAAGAGTTTTCATCGATAGCACAGGCAACCCTCTTGATAACACAGAACCACCAGTCATCTGGCGATGTCCTAAGCCTATAGTGATGAGAATAGGCAGTGAAAACGGCAGCAAACATACCACAGTCAGCAAAGACTGAATAAACTTCCTCTTCTGAACCCAATGCGGAAACAATTTTTGTGGGCCGTGGAGCGCTTGTTTCGTGCTCTTTTCTGCCGTCTGCGATGATGGAGAGTGCCTTTTCTGCTGTATACTCTATGGCAAACTGTTTAGCCTGCTTTCCGTCTTCCTTAAACAAATCTTCAAACTTGGATGGAACCAGTTTGTGGCTGGCGAGAGAGACAAACTTCATGTTTAATCCATCGGCAGTCGTACTGTATCGAACGACAATTTCGTTGGCCTTAGATGTTTCAATTTTTTCATCATCCATCGCGATCGGTTTGTTGTTAGAATTTCCCATTGTTTTTGCTTAAGAACTGATTGCGATCGGCAATCTTTAACCACCGAGAGCAGTGCTATGTGTCGGCGTACAACGATATCGACCCGGTCGATATCGTTGTACTCGGCTGACTAACTATCAATGCTTCCTCATTCTGCCTTGTCATCATGTGTATGGGAAGCCACAACGTTAACGTTCTTATGTGGTTTGGTCAGTTTGGCGTTGAGGTTTCACAGTGACGTAATGTGCTCTTGTCATGTTGTGATGTGGTTACGGTCGACTGCCGATAACTCGAACCTTCAAGGGAAATCGAAAAAAGTGCGAGTTATCGGGAGTTGGAAAAACTACCAACAAAAGATTTGTAATTTTCACATGTAGGTATTTCAAATTAACCGGAAATACCACTGCTCTAAGCCAATCAAATTGCAGAAATTCCTCATGTAGTAGTATAACAAAACGTCCCTCTCGAGCTCGTTGCTTCCCTTAACTGTTTTCAGACGTGAGTCTTGTTTGAAGTTATGTTATCCTTCGAAAGATGCCACAATTTCTAGTGTATTTTATCCGTTTCGAGCGAATTATTCAAACACGTTCAAAACCGCACTCCTAAAAGCTGGGAAACGGTTTGTTTAACTACGATCTTTCATCAGAAGCCCGATAAAACACTCTTACAGGCTCGAAAACCCCTCAAAATTGCCTCTTCCCACCGTTTTTTTTCAGACATGTAGGGCGCACTCTTTAGGGTGAAGGTGATACATGGAATTATGATCAGAAAAGGGTTCACTTACCACAACATTGTCCATCAACAAGTCAACGTTAGTAGTTAAAACAAGGTCCAGTATGTTTTGATCCCTCGTAGGTTCGTCCACTACATGCAAGAAGTTGTCTTGAATTATAGATGTGCAAGAGTAGTGTATGTTGCTCCGAGCACCAGCTAGTGATCGATTCGGTTGGCCCAGTAAAATTCACTCAAATTAAAATCTCTGATTAATATCATGTCTGTTGTGATGTTACTGAGAGGAATTTTGGAGTTCTTGCAAAACTGTTAGGTTACTATCGGGCGGCCGGTAAAATACTCCGATAGTTATTTTCCTGTAATTCGTAGTTCATACATCGATAAACAATAATTTAGATTCGCAGGCGACATCTTCCTTCGGGGAAGCCTTATTACATCCTTTGGTGGCAATTAGTACACCACCACTAAAATGTCCTCCTTGCTGCCTATGTTTCAGTCCTTTTTTTTCTGAAAACCTTATTTGCCCCGTGTTAAGAAGGCAGTGTTGTTGTTGTTGTAGGGATACAGCTGGCCAAGGACGCTTCGATGAAATGACAACGGAGTATTATAGCGGAGCAATGGTTAGTGGAATTATTTACTTTGTGAGATATTCAGTTTCTTTTGCTCGAAGAAACACCTTACTTTATAGAATCATTCAAAACTCAGAAGTTAGAATAAAAAGAACATCAGTCTCACCGTAACTTACTTAAAACATATTAATTTAATACCCTTTCAATTCAGCATCAGGCATCATTTAAAAACATGTTTTTGATTTTTGCAGGGCATTATACTTGTATACGATATAACCCAGGAGAAGATATTTGAAAACATTTCAAAGTGGCTACGGAACATAGAAGAGGTACAGTTAAGGCTCTCATAACCTTGGCAATCCATAAGACTTTTCGTTCTCGTTTCATTTTTTTGTTTCATTCCATTGTAAGAAGTACAAGAAATATCACAAATTTCATTTTCCTATTCCCAACATACGAAAGAAATAATATAACTAAACTCTAAGAATTTGATGGAAAAAAAAAAAAAGAAATTATTTGGGGTTCCCTTAAAGAGTATCAAATTAAAGACACTTCCGCGGAGCAATTTGCAAACAATGATCTCAGTCGAATCTACAGGAAAAATTACTCGTTTTTTCGCCTAAATGGGGGAAAGTTATCAATAATGCTCGTTTTTCTAAGCATTTCATCTTTTCGTACCACATGAATTTTGTCAATCGACTAACAATCCCATGATCATCTTTAGTAATTGTAAACCGGCGTTTAAAAATGTGGGTCGGAAGACTCATGTACTATTTGCATAAGGCTACATAAATGAGTTAAGTTAAGTCGATAATAAGGGCTACAATAGGTAGATTTTATAACATAGCACTTAACAATATTGCACAAACATCTCAAGCTTGATATAGCTCACCGTCATTGTTTGATAGCTTGCCATCACTGATGAAATCTAGGTCTTCTTCCAGTTTCAAAACACTTCTTTTACAACAAATTTCAATTCTTTCTTCTTTTGACGGTCTTGTCATATAAATTAGATCGTCTCAACCGAAACACGCACACTGCCAAATAGGTCTCCAGTGTTCTTCTTGATAACTCTCAGCTCCAGAAGTACAAAATATAAGACTTAATTGGCCAAAACTGGTCTCTGTGAGAGCCATCGTCTTTCAGGGTTGCTTCGGTCCTGTGGGCGTTCTTGACGTTTGGTTGCAGTTGAAGATCTTTCTACAATAGAGTGTAACCCGGAGCTTTGCTTGCAGTACAATTTTCGCTTGTAGAAGCTGGCACATTATAGAATCTCAGCTTGCAATCACTATGAATATCTCTCTGGTGATAACAACCTCACTAGTTTTCTTATCTTTACTTTCAAACTGTATGTTTCAAAATCATGTTAGAAATGTCTTTATCCACCCTCGAGTATGGTCAATTATCAGATCCTGATAGATGAGAGGTAGATCCTAGAAAGCTTTATTTTGTAAAAAGTTAAACATGCCCCTTCGAAAAGCATGAAGTGAGACAGAGAAAGGAAGGACAGAATCGCCAGCTCAGCGATAAAACCCAGTTCGAAAACAGCTGCACATTTTATTCCCTCGCCGAACTCAAATAACTCCGTATGTACGACATCACAAGGTCACCCCTTAGTACCACAGGATACCCAAGTACCACATAGGGAGTTGCGTTGTCCAAACGTCAAACGCAATAAAACCTAAGTGTTGCAAATTTTATTTATTCTGTCAAGCACACAATTGTTTTTATGGGACAGAGAAAGTCTTCAGATCACCCTTTAATTCTTTTTCCCCACTCTATTTTAGCATGCAAATGAAGATGCAGAAAAGATGATCCTTGGTAGCAGATGTCATATGGAAGATAGAAGAATTGTCAGCAAGGAAAACGGGGAGCAGGTGAGTTGACTGAAGTGTAAGACACTTCACAGTAGGTTCACCAAATCAGATGCAACAAATCTGTGGTCTCCTAAATGGTAATCTTGGGCTTTCTGGAGGAAAAAGGGGTAGAGTGAAACCTGGTTACAGGTAAATACCATCATCATTATCATAATCACTGTTTGCCCTTGTTGAGAACAGGACCAGCAATCAAGTTGTTTCAACACATTTACTTCTTCGCTGCATTTTCTGAATCTCAGGCACATTCCCCTTGTTTCTTTTTCCAGTCCTGGCCCCAGTTATTCAAAAGGTGGGTAACGCAATCCACCGGCTAAATCTCTAACCAGTGGATAACGCAATTGGTTTCCCTTTACTACTTATCCACTGGATAGCGCTATATCCACCTTTTACAGCAACTGGGGCCTGGACATTGCCATGTCTTTGTTAACCCTTATTGCACTTACCTGTGGGTGCCAATGTCAGTTGTGATGTTGGGATAATAAGCAGATGCCATTCGTAGAAACCTTAATAAAGTACGACAATATATAGTAATGAAAATGTGGAGACAAGTCTTAATAGCTGTTTTTTTCTTTGCTTCCTTTTTTGCTTTAGTTGGCTAAAGAGCACGGTGCCCAGTTCTTTGAAGTAAGTGCCGAAGAGAATATCAGCATCAAGGAAGCCTTATACAACCTAGCTGAAAAAATGCTCGAGAAGAAACTGTCCACGGACAATGAGGAAACTTCTCAAAACATTCGCGTCAGTGATACCGAAGAGAAAAAGGGGAGGTGCTATTAAAAAGACTCAGAGTCGGCTGTTTTTAATTAAAATTGTACTAGACTGCATAAGAATGCACAAGTATTCATAATTCATAAAGAAAAAACAAAGAAAATAATACCGTAACGTTAGTTTGAATATCGAATCTTAGTGATACCATAAGATAATGTGCTTTTTGCATGGCAGCGAAAACGTCAGTTTTAAAATGAATTCTCGTTTTTTCAATCTTTTTCGCGTTTATTCCAATTTGCTGAAAATGGCAATTGCAGGCGAATTTCCCTGGAGTTGATTTCTTGAGGACCGCACTCAAGTTTAGAGAGAGAAAAAGAGATTCGTGGTCGCTTGTTTACGTCCTCCATAAAACTTGCAATCGGCATTTTCACGTCGTAGTTGTGCAAGGACGGTAAAGAAATGTACTAAAAAGCGTGATGCACGTTCAAAGGTGTTGTTTTGCGTAATAAGCCTATTGCTTTTTTGACGTCCTGGTTGCCGTCGCCGTCGTCGTTGCTAAAGCTCCCTAATATCTGGAAGAAGAACAATAGGGAGCTTTAGCAACAACGACGGCGACGGCTACAAAAAAGGCAAAAAAACAATAGGTTGTTTTGCACGTCCATCACACTTTTTTGTACATTTCGTAGCCGTCTTTGCACGACTGTGACATGAAACTTCCTAACTTCACGCGCTCGCTTAATGGAGGAGGTGAACAAAACACAAAAATTCTCTTTTTCTTTTTCTAATTTTAGATATGGTTTTTTCGGATTCAACACCGGAAAATTTCTCCAAAATTTGACAAATTAAATGAAATTGAATAATAAGATCGATGAAGTTTGAAACAGTGCGAATTTGGTTTTTAGTAAGCGATCAGCTGTATTTACGACCAGCATTGTGATACCCCAGTTGAACTGTGACTTAATCTCTGTTATGAAAAGCTCTCGTGATAATTACTAACTTTCATGACCCGTTAATTCCGAAAGTAATGAGTAATACGAAAAGTTTAACAAATAAAGAAAACTTGACTGTCTGTGCTCTGTTCTGTTTGTTGACTAAGTTGTAAAGCACGCGGGAAACGGCTAGAGTATGAAATCGCAATGTAGTCGAGTGTTTCTCCCTACTTCCTGACTGCTCTAGCCGCTATTAACTAATTGTTGTAAATATTAATATTATTTAAGCTGAGTGTATTTGTCATAAACAGCATGTGCCACAAAAACTTTCAAGAGTTTTCAAAGGAAAGAGGAGATGCCTGCAAGTAGTTTAAATTACGCATGCATTCTCAGATGAATTTTTCCAGTCAAGCAGATTTTTTCGTTGAAACACTATCCTCAAAGTAGACAATATAAAAACAAAGAGTGCAACACTGATTTTTTGTTTTCCTCTTTCTCTCTTTTCCTTCTTCTCTTCTCATCACTCGATATTTCCTATCCTGTCGGGCTTTTCAGACTAAAATAATCTCGTCATTTGGCCTCAATTTTGTCAAATTACTACTGATTTTCAGAGGCCGAATTTAAGGAATTCCAGTCTGACTTTTCCACCAAAAAAGTGCGAATCATTGTTGGGCAACTGTGGTGAAAACCGTCTCCAAAGTATAGGCAATGAAAAAAAAAAGCAAACAAAAAAAACAAAGCAAAAACAACAACAGAAAACAAAAAAAACCAAGACAGGGACTATTATGTTTTTCAACTTCTTTTGTCTTTGCTTTCTTTCCATTTTCTTTTCCTTTTTCTTCTGTGTAGTGTGATTTTGGCCGGGGCTTTTCCGCGCTCACGAAACCTGCATTTTGGCCTGCGCGGCTTTCACTTAAATGACTGCAATTTTCACTAACTACGTTTTTAAAAAAAATATCGAGCCCACATTTGAATGAAAAAAATTCTAAATGCGTTATTTTACAGTGCTGAAACACTTTTAACTTTCCTTGTAGTTAAGTATTATTTCTAAACTAATTTATAAAGCCAATGTCAGTGGTTTGTTCAGAATTTGCAAAAAGGCGAGTCGTCGGACAACATAAGAGACCATCCTTGGAATGGTTGTACAGCCACCTCATCACAGTTGGGTATCCTGTGAACAGTGAAGCCCAGCATTCCTGCCACCAATGCCGCGGTATCCTGGACATCAAAAGGGTTCTTGATAGTGAAAGGAACGGCCACTAAGCCACTTGTAAAGTCACCAGGCCCCCTCAGTTCCCTTTCATATTGCAGTCCCTCCAAGAAATCTGTGATCCATCCCCTGATACCGCCAGCGGGAGTTCCTGAGAAACAAAACAAAATCAGTAAATTATTTTTGTTTGCGTAATTTCGTGAATATGTACTCTCTAGATCAGACGAAGTACAGTCAACTCCCTTGTATTGCGGACACTGCGGGGACCTCGAGTTAGTGTCCTCATAAGCGAGAGTCCGTAATAACGAGAGTTTATTTAAACCAAAAGACTGAAATTTGTTTTTGCCGGGGATTTAGCCGCTGTTCCTGTTATCGGGAAGGTCTGTTGTAGCGGGGTGTATGCAAGGCAAGAGTTGACTGTAAACTAGGACAAACTTCATTAAACCTGACTTACAATCTCAAATAAAAGAGCTTTGGATAGCCTACTCGCGCTGACTGTGATTATACGAACTCTTCACAAAGACCGTTCTTCCAAAATAATGATGAATTTCCATTAAAGAACTTTTTCGACGTTCTAGAAACTGCTGCTTGTGATCAGCTTACTGAGCTGTGATATGTTTTGGTAAACACCTGTTAATCCCTAGTTGAACCAGAAGTATATATCGTTTGTGGATAAAAAGACTACAATAAAATGAAAACAGTCAATCCTTTTTGTGTAAAACAAGCCGTTTACAAGCTCATCAGCGTTTGGCAAGTCTATGGACAATTCTCTCAAGACTTTTCTACCAGTTTCGTAGCTAGCATAAATTCTTACTTCCTTAGCGTTATCTAAGCTTTTCATGTCGTTTTGATACTTTTAACACCTTCGGTAGTTTTTTTTTTTTTTTCGGTTTTTGCATTGCAATCGTATAAATTGATTGAACAATACATACCCGACTCATAAGCTTCTTGATAGCTCATAATATGACTCCACGAATCTTCATCTGGGTGTCCCTGATAGGTGGTTTGCAGATTCCAGAACACTTTCTGAACCAGATCCCACCATTTTGATGAAAGGCCAAGATCATTCTCTATAGGTTCTAAGAGTGTTCTTAAAACTTTCAGCTTAGAACTCAATTTCATCCAGTCATCTTCACTGCCAAGCATCTCCACCGATGGTATTCCACATTCGGTAATGTCTCCGAAATAGTCGAAATATTGTTTAACAGAATACATCAGCGTAATCTGCGAGACGATCTTCTGTACAGCTGAGGTGGTTCCAAAATCTGCGGTGACTCCATCAACAAATTAGGGCACTTTTAAGTTTTCTTTTAACTGTTTTGTTATTTGATCAAACAGAAAGTTGTAATCCACGGTGTAGATAGTGGGATCCTTAATCTGTACTTCGATTGTTTTTTTTCCTTCATGATCGACAAACATGTTGCGCACCGAGGCTTTCGAAGAGTTTTCATCGATAGCACAGGCAACCCTCTTGATAACACAGAACCACCAATCACCTGGCGATGTCCTAAGCCTATAGTGATGAGAATAGGCAGTGAAAACGGCAGCAAACATACCACAGTCAGCAAAGACTGAATAAACTTCCTCCTCTGAACCCAATGCGGAAACAATTTTTGTGGGCCGCGGAGCGCTTGTTTCGTGCTCTTTTCTGCCGTCTGCGATGATGGAGAGTGCCTTTTCTGCTGTATACTCTATGGCAAACTGTTTAGCCTGCTTTCCGTCTTCCTTAAACAAATCTTCAAACTTGGATGGAACCAGTTTGTGGCTGGCGAGAGAGACAAACTTCATGTTTAATCCATCGGCGGTCGTACTGTATCGAACGACAGTTTCGTTGGCCTTAGATGTTTCAATTTTTTCATCATCCATCGCGATCGGTTTGTTGTTAGAATTTCCCATTGTTTTTGCTTGAGAACTGATTGCGATCAGCAATCTTTAACCACCGAGAGCGGTGCTATGTGTCGGCGTACAACGATATCGACCACTCGGCTGACTAACTATCAATGCTTCCTCATTCTGCCTTGCCATCATGCGTATGGGAAGCCACAACGTTAACGTTCTTATACATGTGGTTTGGTCAGTTTGGCGTTGAGGTTTCACAGTGACGTAATGTGCTCTTGTCAAGTTGTGATGTGGTTACGGTCGACTGCCGATAACTCGAACCTTCAAGGGAAATCGAAAAAAGTTCGAGTTATCGGGAGTTGGAAAAACTACCAACAAAAGATTTGTAATTTTCACATGTAGGTATTTCAAATTAAGCGGAAATACCACTGCTCTAAGCCAATCAAATTGCAGAAATTTCTCATGTAGTAGTATAACAAAACGTCCCTCTCGAGCTCGTTGCTTCCCTTAACTGTTTTCAGACGTGAGTCTTGTTTAAAGTTATGTTATCCTTCGAAAGATGCCACAATTTCTGGTGTATTTTATCCGTTTCGAGCGAATTATTCAAACACGTTCAAAACCGCACTCCTAAAAGCTGGGAAACGGTTTGTTTAACTACGATCTTTCATCAGAAGCCCGATAAAACACTCTTACAGGCTCGAAAACCCCTCAAAATTGCCTCTTCCCACCTTTTTTTTTCAGACCTGTAGGGCGCACTCTTTAGGGTGAAGGTGATACATGGAATTGTGAGCAGAAAAGGGTTCACCTACCACAACATTGCCCATCAACAAGTCAACGTTAGTAGTTAAAACAAGGTCCAGTATGTTTTGATCCCTCGTAGGTTCGTCCACTACATGCAAGAAGTTGTCCTGAATTATATAATATGTGCAAGAGTAGTGTATGTTGCTCCGAGCACCAGCTAGTGATCGATTCGGTTGGCCCATGGCCAGTTAAATTCACTTAAATTAAAATCTCTGATTAATATCATGTCTGTGGTGATGTTACTGAGAGGAATTTTGGAGTTCTTGCAAAACTTTTAGGTTACTATATTGGGCGGCCGGTAAAATACTCCGATAGTTATTTTCCTGTAATTCGTAGTTCATACATCGATAAACAATACTTTAGATTCGCAGGCGACGTCTTCCTTCGGGGAAGCCTTATTACATCCTTTGGTGGCAATTAGTACACCACCACCAAAACGTCCTCCTTGCTGCCTATGTTTCAGTCCTTTTTTTTCTGAAAACCTTATTTGCCCCGTGTTGAGAAGGCAGTGTTGTTGTTGTTGTAGGGATACAGCTGGCCAAGGACGCTTCGATGAAATAACAACGGAGTATTATAGAGGAGCAATGGTTAGTGGAATTATTTACTTTGTGAGATATTCAGTTTCTTTTGCTCGAAGAAACACCTTACTTTATAGAATCATTCAAAACTCAGAAGTTAGAATAAAAAGAACATCAGTCTCACCGTAACTTACTTAAAACATATTAATTTAATACCCTTTCAATTCAGCATCAGGCATCATTTAAAAACATGTTTTTGATTTTTGCAGGGCATTATACTTGTATACGATATAACCCAGGAGAAGACATTTGAAAACATTTCAACTGGCTACGGAACATAGAAGAGGTACAGTTAAGGCTCTCATAACCTTGGCAATCCATAAGACTTTTCGTTCTCGTTTCATTTTTTTGTTTCATTCCATTGTAAGAAGTACAAGAAATATCACAAATTTCATTTTCCTATTCCCAACATACGACAGAAATAATATAACTAAACTCTAAGAATTTGATGGAAAAAAAAAAAGAAATTATTTGGAGTTCCCTTAAAGAGTATCAAATTAAAGACACTTCCGCAGAGCAATTTGCAAACAATGATCTCAGTCGAATCTACAGGAAAAATTACTCGTTTTTTCGCCTAAATGGGGGAAAGTTATCAATAATGCTCGTTTTTCTAAGCATTTCATCTTTTCGTACCACATGAATTTTGTCAATCGACTAACAATCCCATGATCATCTTTAGTAATTGTAAACCGGCGTTTAAAAATGTGGGTCGGAAGACTCATGTACTATTTGCATAAGGCTACGTAAATGAGTTAAGTTAAATCAATGATAAGGGCTACAATAGGTAGATTTTATAACATAGCACTTAACAATATTGCACAAACATGTCAAGCTTGATATAGCTCACCGTCAATGTTTGATAGCTTGCCATCACTGATGAAATCTAGGTCTTCTTCCAGTTTCAAGACACTTCTTTTACAACAGATTTCAATTCTTTCTTCTTTTGACGGTCTTGTCATATAAATTAGATCGTCTCAACCGAAACACGCACACTGCCAAATAGGTCTCCAGTGTTCTTCTTGATAACTCTCAGCTCCAGAAGTACAAAATATAAGACTTAATTGGCCAAAACTGGTCTCTGTGAGAGCCATCGTCTTTCAGGGTTGCTTCGGTCCTGTGGGCGTTCTTGACGTTTGGTTGCATTTGAAGATCTTTCTATAATAGAGTGTAACCCGGAGCTTTGCTTGCAGTACAATTTTCGTTTGTAGAAGCTGGGACATTACAGAATCTCAGCTTGCAATCACTATGAATATCTCTCTGGTGATAACAACCTCACTAGTTTTCTTATCTTTACTTCCAAACTGTATATTTCAAAATCATGTGAGAAATGTCTTTATCCACCCTCGAGTATGGTCAATTATCAGATCCTGATAGATGAGAGGTAGATCCTAGAAAGCTTTATTTTGTAAAAAGTTAAACATGCCCCTTCGAAAAGCATGAAGTGAGACAGAGAAAGGAAGGACAGAATCGCCAGCTCAGCGATAAAACCCAGTTCGAAAACAGCTGCACATTTTATTCCCTCGCCGAACTCAAATACCTCCGTACGTACGACATCACAAGGTCACCCCTTAGTACCACAGGATACCCAAGTACCACATAGGGAGTTGCGTTGTCCTAACGTCGAACGCAATAAAACCTGAGTGTTGCAAATTTTATTTATTCTGTCAAGCACACAATTGTTTTTATGGGACAGAGAATGTCTTCAGGATCACTCTTTAACCCTTTAAGCCCGGATATCCACTTACAAATTCTCCAAACTGATCTCTATACATTTCCTTAAAGAATTAGTTGGGAGAGTTTGATAACAGATCAAAGCATTTTCTCTTTAGTGACAGTTTTATTAACTCTCATAACCTTTTCTCCTGGCAACATATGGATATTGTTAGGAGAAAATTGATGTTGGTCACTATTGGGACTCAAAGGGTTAATTCTTTTTCCCCACTCTATTTTAGCATGCAGATGAAGGTGTAGAAAAGATGATCCTTGCTAGCAAATGTCATATGGAAGATAGAAGAATTGTCAGCAAGGAAAACGGGGAGCAGGTGAGTTGACTGAAGTGTAAGACACTTCACAGTAAGTCCACCAAATCAGATGCAACAAATCTGTGGTCCCCTAAATGGTAATCTTGGGCTTTCTGGAGGAAAAAGGGGTAGAGTGAAACCTGGTTACAGGTAAATACCATCATCATTATCATAATCATTGTTTGCCCTTGTTGAGAACAGGACCAGCAATCAAGTTGTTTCAACACATTTACTTCTTCGCTGCATTTTCTGAATCTCAGGCACATTACCCTTGTTTCTTTTTCCAGTCCTGGTCACAGTTGTTCAAAAGGTGGGTAACGCAATCCACTGGCTAAATCTCTAACCAGCGGATAACGCAATTGGTTTCCCTTTAATACTTATCCACTGGATAGCGCTATATCCAACTTTTAAAGCAACTGGGGCCTGGGGCCCGTTTCTCGAAAGTCCCGATAATTAACGGGCCCGGTAAGCTGACTCCGTTTACATTAGAGATCGAGGTTTCAATAGTTTTACATCTACCATGACAAAACTATCAGTTAATGAAACAAAATGGAGTAGTTTGCTAGCCAGGACCGGCGCTCTTATTCTTTATATTTTGATTTGAATATTTGACTTAGGGCCCGAAAAGTTACCCGGACTTCCGAGAAACCGTGGCCCCTGGACATTGCCATGTCGTTGTTAACCCTTATTGTACTTACCTGTGGGTGCCCATGTCAGTTGTGATGTTGGGATAATAAGCGGATGCCATTCGTAGAAACCTAAATAAAGTACCACAATATATAGTAATAAAAATGTGGAGAAAAGTTTTAATAGCTGTTTTTTTCTTTGCTTCCTTTTTTGCTTTAGTTGGCTAAAGAGCACGGTGCCCAGTTCTTTGAAGTAAGTGCCGAAGAGAATATCAACACAAGGAAGCCTTATACAACCTAGCTGAAAAAATGCTCGAGAAGAAACTGTCCACGGACAATGAGGAAACTTCTCAAAACATTCGCGTCAGTGATACCGAAGAGAAAAAGGGGAGGTGCTATTAAAAACACTCAGAGTCAGCTGTTTTTAATTAAAACTGTAATAGACTACATAAGAATGCACAAGTATTCATAATTCATAAAGAAAAAACAAAGAAAATCATACCGTAACGTTAGTTTGAATATCGGATCTTAGTGATACCATAAGATAATGCGCTTTTTGCAAAGGCTGACGTCACGTTATCGACGTTACCATGGTCGTAAATTATCTGGATCAAGGACGATAGGGAGCTTTAGCAACGAGGACGGCGACGGCTACAAAAAAGGCAAAAAAAAAAAAAAAATTGGTTGTTTTGCACGTCCATCACACTTTTTTGTACATTTCGTAGCCGTCTTTGCACGACTGTGACATGAAACTTCCTAACTTCACGCGCTCGCTTAATGGAGTAGTTGAACAAAACACAAAAATTCTCTTTTTCTTTTTGAATAATAAGATCCATGAAGTTTGAAACAGTACGAATTCGCTTTTTAGTAAGCGATCAGCTGTATTTACGACCAGCATTGTGATACCCCAGTTGAACTGTGACTTAATCTCTGTTATGAAAAGCTCTCGTGATAATTACTAACTTTAATGACCCGTTAATTCCGAAAGTAATGACTAATACGAAAAGTTTAACAAATACCTTGACTGTCTGTGCTCTGTTCTGTTTGTTGACTAAGTTGTAAAGTACGCAGGAAACGGCTAGAGTATGAAGGAATTGTACGGGCAAACTCGCAATGTAGTCGAGGGTTTCTCCCTACTTCTTGACTGCTCTAGTCGCTATTATAACTAATTGTTGTAAATATTAATATTATTTAAGTTGAGTGTATTTGTCATAAACAGCTTGTGCCACAAAAACTTTCAAAAGTTTTCAACGGAAAGAGGAGATGCCTGAAAGTAGTTTAAATTTTTTCGGTCAAGCAGAGTTTTTTCGTTGAAACACTATCCTCAAAGTAGACAATATAAAAACAAAGAGTGCAACACTGATTTTTTGTTTTTGTTTTTCTCTCTTCTCATCACTCGATATTTCCTATCCTGTCGGGCTTTTCAGACTAAAATAATCTCGTGATTTGGCCGCCGTTTGGTGAAATAACTACTGATTTTCAGAGGCCGAATTTTAGGAATTCCAGTCTGACTTTTCCACCGAAAAAGTGCGAATCATTGTTGGCCAACTGTGGTGAAAACCGTCGCCAAAGTATCGGCAATGAAAAAAACAAACAAAGAAAACAACAAAGCAAAAACAAAAACAGAAAACAAAAAAACCAAGACAGGAACTATTTCGTTTTTCACCTTCATTTCTCTTTGCTTTCTTTCTATTTTCTTTTCCTTTTTCTTCTGTGTAGTGTGATTTCGGGGCTTTTTTCGCGCTCACGAAACCTGCATTTTGGCCAACGCGGCTTTCTCTTAAATGACTGCAATTTTCACTAGCTACGTTTCTAAAAAAAATATCGAGCCCACATTTGAATGAAAAAAATGCTAAATGCGTTATTTTACAGTACTGAAACACTTTTAACTTTCCTTGCAGTTAAGTATTATTTCTAAACTAATTTATAAAGCCAATGTCAGTGGTTTGTTCAGAATTTGCAAAAAGGCGAGTCGTCGGACAACATAAGAGACCATCCTTGGAATGGTTGTACAGCCACCTCATCACAGTTGGGTATCCTGTGAACAGTGAAGCCCAGCATTCCTGCCACCAATGCCGCGGTATCCTGGACACCAGAACGCCGGTCCTTGATAGTGAAAGGAACGGCCACTACGCCACTTGTAAAGTCACCAGGCCCCCACAAAGCCCTTGCATATCGCGGTCCCTCCAAGAAATCTGTGATCCATCCTTTGATACCGCCAGCGGGAGTTCCTGAGAGACAAAACAAAATCAGTAAATTATATTTGTTTGCTTAATTTCGTGAATATGTACTCCCTAGATTAGACGAAGTACAGTCAACTCCCTCATATTGCAGACACTGCGCGGGGACCTCAAGTTACTGTCCTCATAAGCGAGAGTCCGTAATAATGAGAGTTTATTTAGGCCAATGAGTCTGAAATTTGTTTTTGACGGGGATTTAGCCGCTGTCCCTATTATCGGGACGGTCCGTTGTAGCGGGGTGTATGCAAGGCAAGAGTTGACCGTAAACTAGGACAGACTTCATTAAACCTGACTTACAATCTCAAATAAAAGAGCTTTGGATAGCCTACTCGCGCTGACTGTGATTATACGAACTCTTCATAAAGAACGTTGTTCCAAGATAATGATGAATTTCCCTTAAAGAACTTTTTCGACGTTCTAGAAACTTGCTGCTTGTGATCAGCTTACTGAGCTGTGATATGTTTTGGTAAACACCTGTTAATCCCTAGTTGAACCAGAAGTATATATCATTTGTGGATAAAAAGACTACAATAATGAAAACGGTCAATCCTTTTTGTGTAAAACAAGCCGTTTACAGGCACATCAGCGTTTGGCAAGTCTACGGACAATTCTCTCAAGACTTTTCTACCAGTTTCGTAGCCAGCATAAATTCTTGCTTCCTTAGCGTTATGTAAGCTTTTCATGTGGTTTTGATACTTTTAACAACTTCAGTAGTTTTTTTTTTTGTCTTTTGTATTGCAATCGTATGAATTGATTAAACAATGTACATACCCGACTGATGAGCTTCTTTATAGCTCATAATATGACTCCACCAATCTTCATCGGGGTTTCCCTGATAGGTGGTTTGCAGATTCCAGAACACTTTCTGAACCAGATCCCACCATTTTGATCGAAGGCCAAGATCATTCTCTATAGGTTCTAAAAGTGTTCTTAAAACTTTCAGCTTAGAACTCAATTTCATCCAGTCTTCTTCACTGCCAAGCATCTCCACCGCTGGTATGCCACACATGGTCATCCTTCCACAGTCGAAATATTGGTTAACAGAATACATCAGCGTAATCTGCGAGACGATCTTCTGTACAGCTGAGGTGGTTCCAAAATCTGCGGTGACTCCATCAACAAACTCGGGCACTTTTAAGTTTTCTTTTAACTGTTTTGTTATTTGATCGAACAGAAAGTTGTAATCCACGGTGTAGATGGTGGGATCCTCAACCTGGACTTCGATTGTTTTCTTTCCTTCATGATCGACAAACAAGTTGCGCACTGAGGCTTTCGACGAGTTTTGATCAATAGCACAGGCAACTCTCTTGATAACACAGAACCACCAATCATCTGGCGATGTCCTAAGCCTATAGTGATGAGAATAGGCAGTGAAAACGGCAGCAAACGCTGGGCCTCTCTGACTACCAATTTACCCGAGTAACTTGAAGACTTCTGGCTTTTACTGTACACGCAACAACTTAGTCTGTGAAGAAAGAAGAGGTAACTTGCCAATTAAGATGGAGAAAATGACTTTACTCACGACTAACATGGATATTTATCGGCATCCACGACATGTACCTGGGTAAGCAGTGAACAGACCCGTTCGCTGGTGAAATGTCAACATTGAAATTTCACTGACATAACAAACCAGGGTCAAATTAATTACCACACGTACAATATCCTTACGCCGGCCGAATTTCCATCAGCCAGTCTGTTAAAATGTTTCGAGTATTGAGCTTAATTTCTTAGTTTTTAAAAATTTCCTGCAATCTGAGTCACATTTTAAACTTTAATAGCTCGAACAGCTTGTATTAATAGCAATCTTTCGATGTTTTGGAGGAATCAAATAGAAAGGCAGTCGTTATGGTTCTTTCTCATGATTTCTTTTACTTGAGGGAAATTTCTTTTAGTTTCTTACTGTTTGGATAGGGTAAACTGAGTTTTCTTGTAAACGAATGTCATTCAGGTTTGTGTATCAAATTTCGTCAAAGTAGATACTGTACTGCACTGTCTAGGCGAGATAAAATCTTCTATGATTCATTAGTCATCGCGTGCGCTACGTCCACTTAAGATCCCAAAACGTGGCACAAAAATCGTGCCGTGCGTGAAAGTGTCTGCTTTGTTAAGGAAGCGAGCGTGAGCGTGAAGCCGGCGCGTGAGTTAACTTGCATGTACGTTACCTTAAAATATAGATATGGGGAGTTGTTTTGCGAAAAATAAAACAGTTTCGAGTTCATAATTCTTCTATTATAACTTATATCGGACGGCGTTCAGTGAAAGCTTCGATGGCCTGGGAACACTAATGACAAGACTGACCACTTTTTAAGGCTTTCATTTTCATAGTTTCATATGATGAAATGGCTCAGGAAAGGCGAAATGGGGTAGGGGAAGGGAGGGAGGGTCAGCATTTGTCAGAAACTATGAGAACAGGAAGTAAAGCTTTAGCCGGTAGGATATATACGAGTGTATATCAAAATCCTTTGTAATTTCCACCATCTTTAGCTACCTTGGATACACACCGCGTATCAAGTTTACTTATGGAGAAACGTATGGTAACACAACTGCCCGCTGGTTTCAAGACTACCGGGCCTCACAGCTCAACACAAGTAAAGAACGTATGGGGAGGGGTGGAGATAAGTTTCTACCCTTTCCAACGTACTACACAAATAACCCAGATCACGTGCTTGGCGCACGCACGAGCTCAAGAGATCGTTGGCTTGCCGCACCGAAGTACAAGCTTTTGAACTTAGACGACAGAGATACAGCCATCAAAAAATACGACAAGGTGGGCGCCCTGTTCAAACATCTAATCCCAGCTGTTCAAAAGGTGGATATAGCTATCCACTACCAGCGGATAGCGCAATGAAGGTTTTCCTATACTTATCCCCAGGATAATGATTTATCCGGTGAATAGCCCTAACCAACATTTGAACCACTTGGGCTCTGAGGTAGGATTTCGCCCATAGACTAAAAAAGTATGAATATCTTCCATTGACATGTCACCATAAATTTTTCTGACAGTGAATGTGTTGAAAAAGGTGGGGAGGGGTGGGGGGGGAGGAGAATAGAAGGGAATTTCGTTGGTCTTTCTTTCTCTCCTTCCTTTCCTTTCCAGGTCAGCCATTCCTGGTAATCGTACATTATTGACATAGGTGGATTTAGTACAGGTGCCTTCTGCCGAGTTATACCGGCTCTTTAAGGGTGAGCAAAAAGAGGTTTATGTCAAATCGATCAATCAATCGACTGAATCAAATCTAAAAAAATGGTGTCGTACAGCTAGAGGAGTGAAGATTGAACGTTGATATTGTCTTGGCTGGTAAAGTAGCCACACGCCGTTATAAAATGGTTCAAAAGCCGGCTGACGTTTCGGGCGGTAGTCAGAGCAAAACGCACAAAATCACGTCAGTTATGATAAAAACCATTTTAATGAAAAAGATCAATGACTTTTTTTTATTGAAACCCGTATTCTCGCGTTTTAATTTTCGCGGCCCGCAAGAATGTAGGGATAACAGAGGCAGAAGTTTCAATAAGGTATACAAAAAAAAAAAAACAGGTCAAACTTTGCTCCAGGCCTGACGTTCAGAAATGGCGTTTAAGTGAAGGTAGGAACGCGAAATTTTCCTTACAGTTTATTTTGTAATGCCATGGACAGTGTTTGAATGGAAATACCTAAATGATAATAAAAAAACCACACACATTGGAGGATCTGTGTGTACAGGGCGTTTCCAAACCAGGTACTGTAGATACTGATTTATTTTTATTACAGGCTGCTCAACAGCATCGTGAACATTACCGAGACAAAACAGAAACAGTTCCACCAGTGAGGATATTTATTTTACCAAAAATATTTCATAACACCAAATGCCACAGAATTCCAGTGTAAGTATCCGTTTGCGTAAACGCGATCTTTACGATCACAGACCCCCAGTGAAAAAACCGCACATAACCACACTCTCCTAACTCGCTCTGATGAAGGTTTAGCACTTGAAACTTCATTTTCTCTATCGACCTCGTCCCCAGGGGTCTTCCCTTAAAAAAACAAGGCAGGGCAAAAGGGAAAAGCGCTAAAGACGAAGTTGAATCTCATATCTCCATATATACACCAAGGCCAATCTACCCTATTGACTTAATAAGAAAAACCTTGTATTTCACCACCTCCCCCAACCACCTAACGCTACGGTGTCTTTCGATACAAACCCCTTCAGGGGTTTTAAGGCGCCCCCAACCTGTGCGCAGGTTTGGCAGGTAGGGTAGGGCGCGAAGGCGTAGTGCGAGACATGCACCCAATAACCCGCTTGAGCGCTTTCAATAACGCCTGTTGCCCTTCTACGTCATGATCGTGTTCCAGATCATATCAAAATCAGGGACAGGAATAAAAATTATTTCTTAAAACTGCAGCCTTTTGTCATCAAACTATTCGCAAATCTGGCTCAAGGCCTTAGGAATTTTTCAAGAGGGAAAATAACAGATTTGATGTTGTAAATCCTCTTTCAGGGAGGCTAAAACAGCAAACGAAGAAAAAGCTATCGCTTACGCAAACAAAGTTTACAGAACCATGAAGGCAGAACCGCTAGCGAAGTCATCGGTGGAAACACGCCGAATACGAGACGTGTTCTTCGAGAGGAGATAGATGAAATCAATTTTGCCTTTTTGTATTTGTGAATTGTAAATAATTTGAATGGTATTTGCTTTTATTTTTATTTATTTTATTGACAAAATAAAATAGAGTGCACGGAAATATGTAACTGTTTAAACGTATTTTGCACAAGGAACGATGAAATTGAGGACTCTTATTTAAATTCCTGTATTGGAGACCCGACCGCCAATTCTACGTAATCCTGAGTCAGTTGAACGTCTTGCATTTTGCACAGCCTCTTTGTCCCCCCCTCCCCCCCCCGTGTCATTTCCCCGATCGCATATAGGTGGCGATTTTCAAATACTTTCTGCCTCTGTTGTAATACAATCAGCTGGCGTTACGACTCATCACTATTCAGTATTTACATTCAATAGCAAAAGAAGAAGACTACGAGTAGTCGCCCCTTGGTCAGTTTCCCTGCAAGGGAAGATACAGTAAATGAAATACGAGAGCGCGAGTGAAAATCACACCATCGAGGAAGGTCACACGCATTTTCCTCGTCTCGCCTCTCCTCGCACGCAGCGATCTTCACGAGCGTTCGCGTATTTCACTAGCTCAACTATTCCTATGGAAAAAACATTTTTTTTGTGTGTTTTTTTAAATCTATTTATTCATTCATATTTGTACATGAAAACAAACTTTACATATCATTTGTTCGCAAGTAGCTGAGCTAATCGAGGCGGTGAAGGTAAACATTCACAAAGAAGAAAAAAAAAGAAGCAATCGAGTCGTTCTCTTGCTGAAGAGATTTAACAATAGGGTTTCGCTTTCTTGTCATAATTATAGATAGTCGAAGTTTTATGTCCTCAGTCTTCAGACGCGTTCTCACAGTACTAGAGAACACGCAACACCCAATGTTCAACACAGGAAAAGATATACAGCTATAAAACAGGTTGAGTATGATCGTCCGGGTGAACGTAGTCCTGGCATGAATAGGACTGTTGTTGTTGACAATGACTGACGTTTCGACAACGAGTGCGGTAATCATCTTCAGAGTCAGAGTGAGTTGTATCACGTCAGTTGATGTTATTAAACTATGGTTTCCAGCAAAACTAACCACGAGAGAACGACTGGACAACCGACAATAAACGACTCTTTAACTGTGACAATAGACAGATCGAAACGCACCAATGACATTACGAGTCTTCATAGCCAATAACATCACGGCTTAACTGACAAACGACCAATAACATCACGACTTTAAATTGACTAATGTGGTCATTAACCAGCGTTTAATACCATCAACTGACGTGTTTCAAGTCACTTTGACTCCGAAAATGACTACCGCACAGGTTGTCGAAACGCCAGTCACTGTCAACAACAACAATTCTATTCAGGACTATGTTCACCCCGGGACGATAGTAGCTCAACCTACTTATGAAATGACTCCCGGGTGCAAACCTTGCACAAACATAAAAGTGTCGGCAAGTATTTGGTCTCTGAAAAACTGAAAAAGGTTTATTCAAGACTGCTGGCACATGTATAAAGCTATTTACAACAGAACTTTATTTAACTTGTTTCTTGCTTTGCTTTCATGGTCTACATGATCGTATTTATAGTAAACGCGTTATCATCATTTTCAATTCCAGTGAATACGAGTTAAATTGTGTCTACCATGGATTTTAATCGTGTTCCTTTTACAGTGACTTTATTTTCTAAGTATGTTGTAATGATCTGTTAAATGAGTTGTAAGCTTGTTCCAAATCAAACAACATCTGTCGCACTTGTTCATCTGTCAGTTCATCGCTGGCTTTCATACTACTCAAGGTCTCATACCTGGAAATCATGCAACAGTTAAATTTTAGATCAAAAGCAATAAAAAAGGCGATAACTACCCTGACACTTTTTTTGAGTAGGTAAACAGGGGTGAGATTAATCAAGATGAAGCCACTTTTACGCTAGGAAAAAAAAGGGCACTTTATTTGAGTGTCAATGTAATCAGCACCGAAGTACTAATTGGGGACACTGCTTTCATGCCTGTACTAGAGACGGGACCACCATTTTACGTGGTCATTCAAGCCACACGAAGTTCTAGTCGTTTGCTGGGCAAAGGCAGTACTTTGATTTTTCTCAGTTGTTTTAAGACCCTGAGTATTGGTCTGGCCCCGGGAATGGAACCCAGGACCTCCCGCTCTGTAGTCAAGCGCTCTACCGACTGAGCTAAATAAATCCAGTGCCGCGGTTGAGAAGAAACAGGACAGAAAAGATGGAGGTTGTCTCGAGTATGCCAACCACCTACTGGGAGACTCGTGGTAATCTCTGACATTTGACTTGGTTCTATAAGAGGATTTTTTTTCTTCCCAGTCGTTTTTCAGTCTTGACTCTTCAAAAGCTCAGTATTAAGCTTGTTTTTGGCTGCTTTCTTCATCTTTCTCTTCACGAGATTTTGACTTCTGACATTGCCAATTCTACAGTTGCAGGTTGCCTGTCCCACAAGACCTCGCTCGTGCAGTGTGGTGGCTTCAACTCCCGCTGAAGACACAGATTTTCATTTGCCTCACGATTTATGAATCTAGCTTATTTAATGACCAAGCTCGCAACTGTCACTGAGTGGCTAAAGCGTTCGACCTGTAGAGGTTTTAAGTTGCACTTTTCTGGGAAATTATTATCCCATTGCTCATAGCAAGCGGCTCAATCACCCTGTCAATGCCCTCCTTTTCACGAAAGGGAGTGTTGTTTCTCAGTCTCAAAAACCTTCGCTTCATTTGGAATAATGGTTTTTCCACCATTAAGCGAAAAAACTGGGCAAGGATGTTTAGCTCAGTTCATTGATATAACTATTTTTTTTTTCTCAAGTTAAAGAACTCTTTTCGTCCATAAAAACGCTGTGCAACCAAGCTGGACAGTTCACAAATGTCACCAACAGTTCTGCAGTTTAAAACTTCTTAGAGTAAACTTTCACAAAGTTTAGTAACAGTTATAACTTCAAACAGTGAAAATGACAACCGTAGCTTTGAAGTGCCTTGCTTAACGTTTCTTGTAGATGTACATGTGTTAAGTTTGAGCGCGGTCAAGATTGCCTCCCGACCCTGCCGTCCCCTGCCTTGACTGGGAAAGAGTGACTGTTGTTTGAGCTATCACGCGATGGTTTTTGCGTCACGACTCGAAAAAATTTCTCTGACCTTTAGGCCCGATAACTAATCAGACACCACCAAATCTTGGACCTAGTTATGAAGGACACTTACCAATGGTTAACTTTCACCTTTCCATCAAAATCTTCGGGAAGAGAACTAAGGCTATTCATGGTATCCATCAGGTCTCTCAGATCTGGATGAATCTATAATTAAAATACACGGCCACTAGCACTGTTCAGAGTGTTAGCCTGAGAGAAAGCATTCCATTTTTGGGGACATCGCAAGAAGTCACGTGCGAGAGACGCGCCTTTGCCGCCCGCTGGCGTGTTCTCCCGCAGGTTTGCTTCTCGCGCCACTCGAAATGAAGAACTTGCATTATCAGGGTGAAACCTGAACTCACATTCTAATTGCCAGGTTGTTTTCTAAATAAAGCTCACACGGGCTTTGTCTATTAAAGATTATATGAAGTGCGTAAAATGTTGGAACCTCGACATAACGAAGGTCCAGGAGACTGGCTAAATTGGTTCGCTATAAAGAGGTTTCCTTATATCGAGGTCTTCGTAGCCTGGGACCAGGCTCCGCATTGTGCGAAAAAGGAGAAAAATCGGCGTTGCCCAAAGAAAAAAATGTGGAGCGAAGCGAGCCGATAGGTAGCCTGGGGAGGGGGAAAGGGTGGCGCCCTTTCCCCCTCCCCAGGATACCGCTCGGCTAGCTTCGCTCCCCGATATTTTCCTATTTTACCCCGTTTTTTTCCTTTTTCACCCACCACGGAGCCTGGTCCCAGGCTAAGGTTTTCGTTATAGAGGATCGTTATATCAAGGTTTGACTCTATGTTCCCGGAGGGACAACCTCGTTCCCAGCAATGAAATGACGTATGAAAGTGATGAGGATGTTCGTCGTCTACCTTAGGGGTAGAAATAGTAGATTTTGGTCTCACTTAGGGTGTCCGGGTCATGAAAAGACAATATTACCAATAGCCCACGTTCCATATATCAAAATTGTAACAAGATTCCGAGGCTTTAGGGTCAAAATTGCACATTTTTTACGACTATTGTCTCGCAATTCCGACAAAAGACTTGAGCACAAAGAAAACCAAACCAACATGAAAAAATGACCAGAAAGCCTCGGAGTCATGTTAGAATTTTAATATATCGAAAGTGGGCTATTAAGGCATCGAGCCATCATAGTGTGTTGCAGTAACGGTTTACGGTCAAATCGCCCAAAAGTCATCACGCCCAAAGTTATGTCGCCCAAAATGTTTAGCCAAGTCGCCTGAAATTTTATCATGCCGAACAACTTCCTAACATCTTAATCGCGCTTGCTTCGTTTCATCAAATCTTTACTCTACTCTGTTACTCATTTGACGTGCTTGCTTCACCAAAGCTAAAAGAACGAGATATGTTACGCATTCATCTCGCTTGTTTCGTCTCTTAATCGCATAAACAAGGGTTATGATACACATTCATCCCGCTTGTTTCGTCTCACCATAGCATTATTGCTTAAGGAACGAGACTTAATTACACAATTTTCCCGCTTGTTTTGTCTCATTATCGCTTAAAGAACGAGATATATATTACATTTCGGGCGACTTGACTAAAAATTTCGGGCGACATGACTCTGGTTTCGGGCGATGTACACTGTAACTTCGGGTGAGATGACTTTCGGGCGACTTGATCGGTTAGCGGGGTAACTTTCTCCTCTAGGGGTCATATGAAGCTTAAACCACGCCAAAATTGGTCTCCTTTAAGGGTTTAATTCTAAATTTCATATGAGCACCCCGGTCTCTTTCCTGGAAGAATTTCAAGTCTAGAAAATTAATGTTATTATGCACAGCAATCCTCTTTTGAGAAGTCTACTCTGCAATTTGAGGTAATCACTAAATTTAAGACTTTCTTTTCAATGCAACTTGAGTATTATTTTCAATCCAGGTTGTTTGCATTTCTGACCATTCACGGACTGATTGTGCAATAACTTTGTCAGTGAGCTTGAGGATTTGGAAAAATGGCCCTCAGCTGAAAGAAACCTTACCATACATTAACAATACCAGACATAAATTATACATATACATGTACCGTACAGAAACAAACATTTTCTGTACAAAGTATTCTAAAATCATAAATTAGCTTTTAAGGATTACTATACTGCGGCTGTGGGCCTGGAAACTTGGGCCCAGTAATATTGGGATTAAACTGCATAAGCATACCTCATCCATTGCTCTGATTTGAAGTCGCAGCTTGTCCATTATTGTTATAAAAAGCTGCAATAAAACTTTCATGTTAGGTGGAAAATAGTCTCCCTTGCAGCTGTTTTAGTTTTTTTTAGTGTTGTCATGCTGCGTGGGAGACTAAGCGGAAAGTAACCACAACAACAACAAAATTATATTAAATTTTTTCTTGCAATGAGACCACCCACACAGCTTAACAAATATACGAAGTAAGGGGGTATGGATAATAAATATTTTATAATCTGTACTATATAATAGTAATAATAATAATAACATTAATACGTCATTTCAATGCACTATAATCTCATCAAAAATAGCTCTCGACCAAACAGCATGTGATAAATTGCTCAGTTATTGCAAAACATGTATTTTACTAACACTCTAACTAGTAGTCCCATTGGATTCAGAAGGAGGCTTTGTATCTGCATTTTCCGCTCTCATGTTAATGATGTCATTAGGTCACCTAATGATGTCATTAGGGATAGCAGTACATGTAGATGGAGATTTCTTAACTTGGAATGCTAACAGTCAAGAAACATGAAAAGAAAGCAGACCACAAAGAGAAAACGACCAATGACTTAAGACTAGGCACCTGCAAACACAGGTGATACAAAGTCAAGGGTGTGTGAAAATACTCTTAAATGACTCCTGATCTACTTCTATGACTCCAAAAACAGTTGAAGCACCCAAAATTCTCCAAAGGTTCCTTCAAAATATCCAAAATAACATACTGTACTTGAAATTATGAATTTTATTTATTAGTTATTAATTCATTTATTATTTATTTTGGGTAAAAGATATAATACCATAATGATATACCATAAGAAACTCCAGTACACAGCAATATTGTGTTACACCATACACTCAGAGACAGTCTGAGTGTACAGTGTACTAAATTTGTAGCTGATTATTATAACTTGCTAGTTTCACTTTTCTTAATTTATAAGTTATCCCTCAATGTTAGCAATGTGTATGTAAGTATAATATTTATTTGTTTCTGTAGCAATGTTGTTTATTGTAAGTATAAAGTGAGTTAGTGTGAATAAAGTTGACAAAAAAAAAGAACAACTCAAATACCCCAGCCATTCCCTGACATAATGTACATGTAACTGGAAAAAAACAAGCTTTTTACTCACTGAAACTGTGTCTGCTATAGCTTTACTTGTGTTCCCCTTATCATCTTTAATGGTGATCGGTCTACCTTCCTTTATTCTTTCTAATGCAGCAGGGCAATCCAGCTAAACGTCGGGAAATATACATCAAATCATTAATAACTAAAAACAATCCCGAAATATCCAGAAGTCTCTGATGATAACATTTTTATCGTTCACACATTAAAAAATTGATTTTCTTAAATTCGGAAAAAAACAGGCTAGCATGGGCAAACCTAATTCTGCTCGCAAGATAAGTTATTATTGAGTAAGAAGCAGGCTCTGTAGATTGTCAGCTGACTGTTGACTGACTTTTGGTCAACAATCAGCCATTGTTGACATTGTCAGTCAACTGTTAGTTGACAGTTGGTTGACTGTTGGTTGTTGGGAGCTGTTCTTTACAATTACTTAAATCTAAAGCTTCTTATGAGGTGCTTGTCACTTGTAGGGGTGGAATGATTCATATTCCTTACGATTCAATTCGATTTCAATTATTGTCTTTCGGTTTTGATTATTTCGATTTGATTATGTAAATGTTTCTTAATTGTTATAACATAACGAGTAATGTTAACAACTGACATGCAACCCTAAACCCTCAATTTGAGAACAGTAACAGGGACAGTAGGATCCACAGTCGCTTGGTTCGTTGCCATGTTTGAGATCCTGACAAAGATGGTTTGCCTTATTTGGAAATTGTCAAGGGGTGGTTGAAGGACAGCATTTTTACCAGGCAACACAAAATGGCGCACGAACTGCTATTGTCTTTTCTCGTCAATCAAAACCGCACATTTTAAAGAGTTCTGGATTCTGATTTTACAATATAATAACTCACTGAGGGCACCCTGGAAAAGGTAGGCAAAAAACGAAGCAAAATTGAAATGTGGAAGCAAGGAATCGAGAATCGAACCAAACTGTCATAATTGTGATTAATCGAGAATTCAATTAATCGTTACACCACTAGTCACTTGAGGGCTCAGAGCATTGTATTCAGCCTCTTTCATAACTCACAAAATAGCAGAAGTATTATAATATTCCAAATCAGCACTTCAAGAATATTGGCCAAAAACAATCATTGATTGCCAACTAAATTTTCATATTTATGAAAGAAAATATCTTGACTCATTTTACTCAAGCATGTGGATTTTTTCAAGTCTTTGAGAAACTACTGTACTGCAAAACTTTGAGGCCCCATATGACAAGAAAACTTTCATGATTGGGCATACGTCAGTACAGCTTAGTATCTAAAAGTAAACTCACTCTAAATTTCTTCATAAAGGCTTCCACTGTAGGGTAGTCTGCTGATTGTACAAGCTTGAAAGCCGCCTACAATAAAAGAGAATTATATACTGGTGATCAAAGTATTCCACATGTACAACAAAAAATGTAAAAAATTAATGAAGTCATGAACCAAGGTGAGGCGTTAAGCTGAGGAGACCTAGCACCAACCCCTCACAAGAAATTCATCACGCAATGTGGCATTCCAATATTTTTAATCTGCTTGGGACAAGAAAATCATTTTTGATCTTATATAATCAGAAGATTCATAAACTTGGGATTCCAATGTACTTGTACATAAAAATGCTTCATTATACAATGTGAAGAGGTTGTCCACTATTAGTATTCACCAAATCAGTGGATAGCGATTTACGTGTGCTCTGATTGGCTCCCTTAACTCGGAATATCCTTGGATATTCACTGTTTTGGGATTCAAAATGGCTCCTCGTTTCGCGACAGTTTCAAAAGATAAAATTTTAGAGGTAAATGAAGCAGCTGCACCAGTAATTACCAAAAGGGAGACAAAATTTGGCTTGTCGGCGTTTACTGGTCGGTAGGAAAAAATTTTCTTAATGAATATACAACAAAATTGTCAAAAATGATTCCCGAGCCACTGTCAATAATGCAACATAAACAAACTCTAACTAAGTGACATCTTTTATTTACAGAAAGTTCCTTTTTGATTTTTATCCACCTGATTTGGTAAAATTGATACTAAAACAACTATTGCTCTCAGGGTCAGTTAATAGCACTAGATATATACCTCGACGCTTTGCATCTCAGTGTATATATCCACCACTATTCATCTCCCCTTCAAGGAAAGTTGTATAATAGCTTTCATATACCAGGCCAAAATGCAAGGTTCTTCAAGATCATGTACAGATCTTACCTTATACTGAACCAGTAACTTAGAACAGGCAGCTGTGTACCTATATTATTTAAGTATATTAAAAAGAGTGATCAGATTATGCATACAAGACATGGACAATGAACTGATAGTTTGCAAATGGAGTCATTTTGTATGTTTCATGTTACTTGCGGCTCATCAGGATATCTTAAGTGAAATTCCTTTGACTGTAAGGAGAAAAGGTAAACTATTTATTGAGCCAAAACATTATATTTAGGAAGTTCAAGATTACAGTACACTAAGGTGACATAGGGAAAATCTTCAATTAAATCTTTGAAACTTCAGCTTGATTATCCCAACTTGTAGGTGAACTCTCCTGGAGTTGAATTCCAAAGGAAAATTTCCGCGTTCATTTGTTTACAGGATTATGCACAGTGTACATTCTCAATATAACATAAAATTAGGCAGTTTCACAAATTAGATGTGTAGCGAGAGCATAGAAATGAACCAAATGTTTGTGGGACGTCCAAAGTTGTTTTTTTTGCTAATGTTAAATGTGACCCTACAAGCAATTTGGAGGCTTATCCAAATTGCACGCATATGTATACTTTTACGGTCCTGGCTGTGAAAAGAAGATGAATTATATTATTATTTCTCTAACACAATGAACATTCTGTGATAAAGTCACAGGCAACGTGAAATATTTCATGCTGCAGAAAAGTTTGTAGTCTCTGTCAAAATATTTCACATTGTGAAAAAGTTCATTATCATCACATGACTGTAGATACTACTTAAACTGTCTAAGGGATTAAAGAGTCTAAGCATCTACCAAAGAATTCTGTATGACAACAATGACAATGATATGTGCTTACTCTCTTGGTGTTACAACATCTCTGATATATGCCTTCTCTAAACACTGAAGGGTATTAATGATGGAGAAAAGATCTGCCATGTTGTCATAGCTGTAAGAACATAACAAAATTTATTAAAGTGTTATATGAAATCATGAGGTAAACGGAAGGGTCTGTAGGAGATAGGCTGTACATGAACCATTCAATTCAGAAATTAGGGTAGCTTATAGCCAAACAGATTAGAGAATTTTAATTTTCGTTATAATTAATCCAGGACCTGTAATAAAATTATTAGTGTAAGAGACTTAAGTATCAAGAATAAGCACATATTACTTGTGTATAAACTTACGTCTCCCTTTCTCTTGCATTCTTATAAAGCTTCACCTCCTAAACAGAAAGTACATGCATGCATTTAAGTATATACAGGTAAACAAATTGTCACCATATTGATTCAATGTATGGCTAGCCTACAAGCAAGCTTTCTATTTGAAAATGGTAAGAGGAAGGGAGTCGTAAGTGGTAAGTAAGTCAAAGTAAGGCACAAGAGATCGGAGAAGCCCGATGAAGAGATTGCATGCCTCAATGATTGAAGAGTTCTAACTTCTGCACACTGTAGTAACCTTCAGAAACCGTAAAGGGTAAGATTTCTTCACAGCCCATGCAGCTATAAATTTGTTACGCATACATGTTTTGATAGCCTGCGAGTAAACCAGTCTCTCTACGCCCTTTTTTGCTACGGATGTTTCAAAGGAGAAGAGAAATCTGGGCCTCAACAACACAAATGCCATCTCTGTCCAGAATCAGGTCAGGCACTCTGGTTGGTCAACGTACAACCAATGTAGCACAGATAATTTTATTCTTTTAGCTATTGTTTACAAACAGCAGACAAAAGAAAAATGTCAATTATGTTAATGTGATTTTATAAAAAACAATCTTCTGCAAAACAGTCAGTTGAGTATTCATGGAATAAAATAATATTCTTCGGAAGAAGAAATAATTGAGTTTTGCTGCTGCTCTTTGCAGAATTACCCAAAACATTACGACAATAGACCAGAAGTAAACATAAACTCAAAAAAATTTACATTTGGAACCCGATGATTATCAGAGTAATTATGTAAACAATGATTCATGTCATAAGTATGGAATTTCTGTCATTGAAATGTTGCAGATGTCTGGAATTTCTCCCACAAAACGCCCCAAGCAGTGAAGAGAAAGGAGAGATGGCTGTATTTTCTGGCTAATGTTTCAAGTCTGAGAAATCTCACGAGCATGATACATGCATATAAATGAATGGTGCTGCGTGCAGTGTGAGAAATGATCAATAAAATTATGCAGGGCAACAGGCCATGTAAAATAATGTACACATGTAACAGGTTCATTACCACTGGCTTGCATTATGTACATGTACTATCAAATCCTTGAAACTACAACCCATGATACTGACTATTAAATGCAATATATAAAATCGTGTAAAGTTGATTCTGTCTGGCTGGAAAATCTTTCAACTCCAGACATGTTTCAAATTCAGACCTGGGATGACCAGGGCATTCACTTTTTATGCAAGTGGAGGCAAGTAAATTTTCTGCTCCCTGGGGCTAAAGTGAATGGTGAACTCCCCTGCCCCTGTATGTCCCACACACACGGACTCCCTCTTTTAAAACTGTCTACTAATCTTTTTATCCCCAAGAGCAACAAAGGATGACAAATGATACATACTGTGAAAGAACACATGGATTTCAGAGCAGCTATCACAACACTTGCAAACCCTTGATGGAGAAGGAAAATGACAACTACATGTATTTGAAGACTTTAAACTTGAAGTCACAAAATGCAAGATAACCAAAAATACAAATCATGTTTGGTAATCTTTTGGAGTTTTTAGAAAAAGTCTCAATCATTACAAGTGTCTTTCTTGCCATTACAAAGTGACTGCCCGGCTTATTCCCTGGTCTTGGAGTCAAAGAACTTTTTGTTAGCATATCCGGCCCCTGCGCACTGGAAAAAAAATGAAGTGACTCTAAACTAAAAGGACCCGCATAACGTGGGTCATCCCCGAGGTGGAGGGGGGGTCCAAGGATTTCAAATGACTATTGCATTATTAAGAAAAGAACGTTCTATCATTTAAGCTCAATACAGTACAAGTAGATCTTTACCTCATATAACTCTGGCCTCATCGCTGCAAGATAAAAAGACATTAACAATATAAACATCGAGTTAAATAGCCTATATAACCTTTAAGCAGAAGGATATAACCTTCAGGCCTTATATGCTTCTGCGTAATTTAATACAGAGAAAACGAGAAATTGTGTACGACGACTTAAGTACTAAACGAAACGATGTTTACTCGTTACAACTTAAGCTTATATTATCTTACATCTATGCACCCAAGGAAACCGAGCACAAACCTTGTTGAGAGGGCTGCGTTCCTGATATGCCGGCAAACATTTCCAACTCAAAATGTTCGTTCAATGTATGTTTTTTCCCCGTTCGCTACTTGCCTGACGGGACGTGGGTGAATCAGTTTCTTGATTTAGAGCTTCTTACACAACGTAATTTTCGAAAGTACTTCATGTTAGGGCATAATTTAGTCGCCTAACGTCCTCGTCGTCCCCAGCTATTCAGGCCGAGGAGTATTCTACGCGGCTTTGGACGAGTTGAGTTACGACTTACGTGCCCTACAAGACTAGTGTAGTGGTCTAATAATTTGCAAATAATTACGCTTTCTCCATTTTGAGTGTATAGCTACTAAGAGATGGAGATATACTGTTATTTGAAGTTGTATGACTGTGTGATCGTCTAGGATAAAAAAGTAGTTCTGAGTGACTAAAATAGACTCTCTAAGATAAAAGTTTATGAAATACCTCTCGCGCTTACGTGAAAATTTGTCATGTGTCGCCACATTTGTTCCCCACTATAACAATTCTAGCCTTGCTAAGGAGTCCATGGTAATTAACTAAAGCTTTGAAATGTTATTAGTAAGTGTATTTTTTTAAGACACAAATTTTTGCTGGAATTTTTTCGTGCATGGTCACTTAATTAACTTCAGGCGTAAGCCGAATACCAGAATAAGTCAGAATTTTGTTTTCGTTCGGAGTCTGTTTGTTAACATCTGAAATGGCTATCCCCCTCCTCCCCTCAAAAGTCAAATGATCCGGTTCCAAACGGTGAGGGACGGGCCACTAACGTAACGCCTTTTGGGTTATGCGTCCTCTATTTTGTCTTTCTTCGACATGTACCTAATTGCAATAACGTTGTCTTAGAAAAATGCTAAAACGGAAAATAAAAAAAGGAAAAAGGTCTTTGTATGGTGCATTAAAGACAAATCATGCAATTGTGACGGCTGTGCAAATGAATGCACCCTTTAGTTATTTGCCAGTAAGTGTAATTAA